GAAAGTGTTAAATGACATCTTATATCAACTCATTTTACAAGAAAAATAAAACTAAATACCTAAGAAGTAAAGACAATACTCGTTTTGTGTTGCACCGATAAAAGTTTTTTTTTGCCGCAAAGAGGTTTTTTCAAAGAATGTTCTCCTTTACTTAATCAATTGTTCGTATAGCAGTCTAAGAAAAAAAAAAACTAAAAGGCACGAGATTCGAGCCACACTTACAGTGCCAATATCTCAGTAAAAGGAATTATGCAAACCTTCAGTTTTACCAATATTACCAAAACAAACATTCTCAAGAGATTTTAAACGCATTCCCCTAATGTCTGTCAGCGTGTTATCACCAGTGACAGTCGACAAAAAAAAAATTCCGAAGCGACAGAAAACTAAAGAACCATAACGTTGATTTTATTCAAAAAAGAATTCACAGTTATTCAAGGAGTTATAGATAACATCGTCGGGAAAGCATGCCGAAGTTACTAGGAGGAAGCCGTAATTGACTTTTGCCCGTATAGCCATCAAATGGGCCGCCATCATGGATTGTCACGTGACTTATTACCTCTGACCAATCAGCAGCCGACAAACTGTGATGAAGAGTTCGCAAATGTTCATCGCCGAGAGGAAATTTGCAACATAAACCAAGCTGCCAAGCCAAGATGGCGGACCTCGAGGCGGTTTTGGCTGATGTTTCCTATTTAATGGCGATGGAAAAATCGAAATCCACGCCGGCCGCACGTGCGAGCAAGAAAATAGTGTTGCCTGATCCATCGTATGTAGATTATTACGATCGCTTTTAATTCATATCCCTAGGATTGAGTTTGTTAACCTGAGAATTTAGGTCTGTTCCATCAACGACCTTGTTGCCTTTATATTTCCAGTGTTTACCACGTAATGCACAAGTATTTAAGCGAAAGAGGAGAGGTCCAATTCGACAAAATATTCGATCAAAGGATAGGTAAGCGAATCGTTCCAAAAGTAGTGTATAGTTAGGCTGCTGTCGTGTTTCTAACGCGCTTCCTTTCTCGAAAACTATATATGATCAGTGTAGTATACCTCGTAAACCATGCTATTCATTTAGCTTTTAAGCTTTTTCGACGACGCTCTGACGGATGTAATCTTCTGTTTCATTTTCAAGGTTATCTGGTCTTCAAGGAATTTTGCGAAACCCAATGCGACGAACCGGTCCCTCAGCTGGCATTTTACGAAGATGTGAGTGAGCGAGCTTTTATATCTTACATTAATTTATTTATTTACCTTTGTATTTTCCCAACTTTGTGCAGGAAGCTGCTAAGCAGCCGCAAGTTTACAAGAATATTTTCTTGAGTGGGCGGGTGCTTGTTGTGCAAGCTTAACTGGAGAAGCGTGATAAATAGTCGTCAAAAATTTCTCAGATAGCCTAACCAGGCTGTAAGCTCAACTTATTGCTGCAATTCGCGAGCAATGAATTTTTTTGAGTCAGCTGTAAATTGTGGCAGCTTTTTTCGCCTACTAGGAGACTTTTGTTTCTGGGTCGCCAAAATGAGCTTGCCATTCGTTAGAAAATATACAGTATTTCCTGTGTTTCTTTTTTTTTGAAAGCTCGTATTTACTGCCCAATGACTGTGGAAAGGAAGTGCAATGGTGTATTGTAAGAGGGCATGTTGGAATTGTCAGCCACGGTTTACAACTAACACAATTCCACTTCCTGCCTTTATATTCAACTCGTACGATACTTAATGCCCCAAACTAGATCCTACGCTAAATAATGAAAACCAACTAATTTCTCGGAGTTTGGGAACTTTAATTGCTTCGTTTTTTGCACGAATTATAAAGATGTTCCCTTTGTGCCCTCGAACATTTGTTTTGCCGTTCAGTTGTTGTCATGGGTCGTAAATCACCGGTAGAGTGATCCTGCAAGTGGTAAATACAAAATAGGTTTAATTTTGAGAGCTATAATTTGGATTTTATCTATTCTTCGTATGCGTGCAACTATTGTTTTCGGAAAAGCTCGGCAACATCGAGTTGAATTTTCAATGTTTTTGCGTTGCTTTTGAATAAACATAGTTGAAATCGACACCCTGCCCGTTCTCTCAATCGCTGCTTATTGAAACACGACTCGACGAAACAGCTTTTAACAAACACCGTTACGGGCGTTTAGTCTGTGTTTGCTCCGCCGTTTCTTGGTCCGATCAGCGTGCTCTTAGAAGATTTAAGCGTTCACGGCGCCAAAATTAGCACGTCCATAATCATTTTGTCCTCTTCGCATGTACAAATTTAATGCTGGTAAACACGATGGTGCATTGAAATCAGTTGTAACAATTGTTATGCTCTTAAACCACAAATTTGTTTCTCTTTGAGTCTTTCATTCACAAAAAGTGCCTTCCTCTTGACTTTTTTTTCTCTATCGCACGATCTACCTGTTCATAAAAATTAAAACTACCAAGGGGAGAAAGTCATGGAAATTTTGTTTTTATGCGATTCCCCGAGGAGTTGCTTTGAACATCATTACCACAACAAAACCGAAATTATAAGGCAAGATAATTGGAAATAGGGTACAATTTGAGGGTGATTGCTATGCCCGAGTTTGATCGTCCCATGATTCTATTTTTTTACCGTTTAACTCTTGCAACCCAGTTTTTTATCTGCCAAAGTGAAATCTTAACTTGTAAATTATTAATGAATGTCTATGGTAAACAGAAGTAAAGGAATATAATTCATATTATTCACTTGGTATGTGCTTGAGTCTTAACTATATTGGACGAGAAATTTACAAGATAAAAAAGTGTCGTTTTTTGCTCAGTGAACTTTTTTGTAAAAAGTAATATCTAGCGATTTCTTCTCAATTAATTGAAATATTTTTGTTTAGTCTAAGGTTCGATTTTATATTCTAAATGCAGTAAAATAGAATTAGAAGCAGAGATATTGTTGCCTGGCAAACCATAGTTTTCATGGGATTTTACCTAGTACACATGCTGTTGCCTTAATATTAATGATGTCCATGTGACGAAGATATTAAAAATTGAATTATTTTATTAATCTTTCAGGTATTGTAATCATGATTATAAAAGATCTTCCCAAGCAAATGTTGTTTGCCAACACATAATGTATATCATTGTTATTCTGGGCAAATCTTGGTCATCAAATTTATTCACTGAAATTGCTAGAATGAAGTGAAAATTATTTTAAGTGGTTCATTTATTCATGAAAAGGTCATTTGCATACATGTCATGCAACTTTCATTTAAATCCTACATCTTATGTTTGCTGAAAGCCATGTGGAATTACACTTTTGAGAGTTAAATTTTAGCTTGTTTAAACTTGTGAGCACCAGTTATCTACAACATTTGAACTGATTACTCTCTAACCCTTTGTGAATTTTCACCATGATTTTGAAGTCTATTTGACATGCACGTCGCAGTTTAATCAAAAATTTCCAAAGCATGGTCGTTAATAAGTTGTATAAAGGACTTTTGTGTTTCATTAAATTAACAGCCATACATGTAACAATGTATGTGTAACTAACAGGTCATATATTTAAAAACCTGCCCTTAACTTTAGACTTGTAATAATTTTATTCATCTGCCTTGTTTCCCGTAATATAATTTATGCTAGCTGTCCTTAAGATGTCTAGTATAAATACAGGAAATAACACAGGCAGATGCATTAAATGTCAATTGTATTAAAATGTCCGATTCAGACGTCTAAACCAAGACGACTACAAAGTATTGTTTGTGGCATCAATATCATATTTTCCTCATCAATGGTGACAAATTTTGTTCTTTGCATGCTTGATTGATGACAAGAAGACAGTTTTGCTTTTTTTGTTCTTTTGTAAACCTATTGTTTCCAACCTATAGTATTCTTATTTGCATAGTATTTTATAGAAAAAAAAAACAGAAACACTACACATATAGTGTTCAGTTACTTTCCTTCTTTATACTTGTTGGAGGAAGTCTTAATTTTTTTCAGATCATTGTCATAAAAGTGATATATTTACATAGCTAATGTCATTATTGTTGCAAATACAGTTGTAATAATAAATTATCAATTGTGACAGGTGTATAACCCTGATTTTGTAATGCAGGTTTGGTACTCAAGAGGTTAATACTTTATAGTTGTGTCTTTTGCATGATTAGGCCATTTCAGAAAATATCCATACCGTATAACATGGACAGCTTTTGGGAATTCCAAGGGCAAGGAGGGTAGTTTTAACTAGAAATCCAAAGGCATAGTAGATACTTATGATTGGAATTCCGAAGATGTGGTGGGTGGACATCTGAAATTTCCACAGGGAAGGACAGACAGGAGTTTACATGTATTCCTTGAAAATTCTTTTTGTATGGACTTAATCAGTTAGCAAATAAAGCATGATCTGATGACACTGCTAATGACCATGGAAGCAGGATACAAGACAAGCACTGATCGATCAGGCATGTGTTCATTTTCATTTGCAGAAAAAAACCAAAATGCTTCATCAGTAGTTAGCTTCTATAGCTTGACTATTATGTGTAAACCAAAGGACTTGCCATCCATATCATGGAGGTCTCATATGACTCACTCGCCAAACTGAATGGGGAGGAGGAGTTAACAACTCTGAAATTCCGAGGACATGGTGGTGGGGGGGGAATGCATTTTGGTCATTCCTGAAGTGAGGGGGGGGGAAATATGGTAACCGTCTGTGGTATGGTATGGATATTTTCTAGGATCACCCATTATTTCCAGGAAAATCTTTTCCCAAAGAACAACTGCTTATACTGGCAAATGTGTTGGAACCTTCAAAATTCATTTGCATTTAGCAAGTATGGAAGTTTGTATTTCCAGCTTATTGAGTGTTGCAACTGCACTCTCTAAATATCAACTTTGACATGACTGTCTTTGTACCAAATAGGGAATAAAATTATTAAGAATATAATAACACTAATAATGATGATAACGACAATGATAATAATAATAATGTATTATTATTATTATTATTATTATTATTATTATTATTATTATTATTGTATTGCTACTACTACTATAGAATAAAAAATTAGAAAATCTTATCATAACACCCTATAAAAAACTCAGTACGGATGTAACATAATTGGTCAAAACCTAAAGCCAGGAGTGTTAACTGATTAGAAAATAAAAATCGTTTTTTTACTTTAGATAAGAGAGTATGAAAAACTACAGTTTCAAGAAGACAGGTTGAAGATGGCACGAGAAATATTTGACAAATACATCATGATTGAGCTCCTTGCATGTTCACATGTAAGTGTTTAAGTAGTTGATCTTTTATGTGTATTTTTATGTATGTATGTAGGTTCTGTTATTTGTTTAGTAATGCAGTTCAGCTAAATGTATTTCCTTTAAGAATAATACAATGGCTTCAATACTAATTAGGACGGTCACTTAGATTTCAAGTTGGCAAATACATGGAAATAGGGAACTTGAAACATTTCCCAGTGGATGAAGAAAGTTGTTGCTGCTCTGTGTTGTCTAGCAACCCAAACAGTGCGCAAAACATTTTTTGAAAGGGAAGCACCTACATGTAGAGAAGGGAGACTAATGATGTTTGAACAAACTGGACAAGGGAGAAGTCTTAAAAATACTAGACTAACATTGTGAAAAGCAGCAAAAGATGAGACCAACTATATCCCTGTACACCAATATGGGGAAATGAAAGAAAGATACTAGTACAACTTCAACTGATGTACCTACAAACCTAAAAAAGACTATAGTCTAACAATTTACCAACTAAGATAAAGATGGGCTGTAAAAGAGACCAAAAGCTGTCTAAAAGATCAATGGAGAAGCAGAACAAGACAAGGCAAGCATCATATAAATCAACTGACATTCTGAGGATTGTAGGAAGACATTTAAAACAAACAGCTTTATGAACGAACTGACCTACAGCAAAGTATTGAGAGTTTGTATAATTATTTCATATTACAGTCGTTTTCCCAAAGTGCTCTGGAACAAGTTCAAAGTTCAATTATGAAGAAAACAAAAGAGCTTCCATCAACGTTATTTGAGGTAAGAAAGTAATAAAGTATTTCATAATTTGTCTCTATTTGATGTCCAGGGAAAATAAGCCAGTAAGCTTGGTTGTTTAGGATGTTCATGGTTTTTACAGAGTCTTGGATTCCTGGAAGAGTCTTGAAATTTGCAGTCCAGTTGTCCAGACCAGAAAGTGTAAAAAATAAAGACACAATTGTTAATTCTAATAAAGTCTTGAAAAATGGTAAAAAGTCTGTTACTTTTTGTTTCAAAATTGCATTAAGTGGGTAATTGCTTAAGTAAAGTTTTTTAGTAGTCAAATCTTATCAACAGAACTCTCTTATGTCCACATTGCTCTATGGTTACTGTACATTTGCAGTGCATTATGGGTAAAGCTTGTTTCCTGAAATTTTCAAGGGTTCTATAAATGATTGATTTGATTACCTGAAGTCTGGAAAAAGAATATTATTAAATTAGTCTTTTGCAAATGTATAAATCCTGGATGCTCCTATTGTTGATTTTTTTTCCTGGAATTGTCTTACTCCTGTCTATTCTCCCCCCTTGACTTTCCCCAATGAGGGTTGACTGGTTATAACCCACATGATCCCTTTTAGCATGTCCAGTTAAGCTTTGTCCGTAAGCTCTCTTTCTCTTTACATTTCTCCCTCTTCTGCCATTCTTTCCTATTCTTCCAGCTGTTAAAATTATCAGGAAGATAGTACAGTCAAGGTTTTCATTAAGAATTCTAGTAGCAGGAGAAAGGTGTAACATTACAGGATAATATTTTGAAAGAGGCTCCACGTATGAATAAAAATTAGTCATAGAGGTTGCTGAACATCAGATGGATAATTCTGCATAGTAAACAGACAATTCTCCAATCTCTAACGCTAAATGAACACCCTGACAGTGTACTCAAACATGTAAGTACCCAAAAATAATTAGATTTGAAAGGAAAATTTATAAGTAATTTAGTTGCTGATATTGGATATTATTCAATTTTATTTTTAAAGCCCTACATGTTAGAAATCAGAAACAGTTTAAGAGGATCAATCTTCCAAAAGTTTTTGAAAAGGTGAGTTTCTCATACTTTTATTTACCAGTATGTCAGTTTTGCGGTTTTTGGCCCTTTTTTGGGTTGGTTTTTCAGTTTTTGCACTTTAAAAAGCGTGATCCTTTTGTCAGGTTTTGGTGTCTGTTGCAGTTTGTGGCGTTTTCTTTTTTGGCATTTGGGGTTTTTGGCAAAAATACAAGTGGTTTTTGGTGTCCGATGTGATCTTAAATCCAAGCCAAAGGTGGTCTTTGACTGACCTTGTGCTTAATCCACCTTCAACAGCTGCATGCCAAAAGGCACCTGCAAATACTGCTTTTCCCTACCCAAATCCTATTGCACATGACAGGGTTATATGAACGGGATAAAGGTGGCTTTGGTTGGTTGCTTATTGAGTTTTCAATAATTTATTGTATTATAACATTGCATTTCACTACAATGCAGCTAACGACTATTATTTTCATTCTAGTGACAGATATATCAGATTTTGTCAGTGGAAAAATGTGGAGCTAAATATTAACGTAAGTTGGCATCTATCACCTAAATGTGTGAATGTGTACTTGAATCAAAACACAATGTACAGAATGTACTTGCAGAGTCTGTAATATTAGAGTACTCAGTAGATAGTCTGAATTAATTACAGTTCTGCTTAAAAAAATTAATTACACTACCGGTCTTGTCTCGTTTCTTGTGAGGTGAGCATCTCATCTTGTGAGACAAGTGGTCTTGTCTCGCGAGAATCAATAAAGTTTGTTATTTTTATATACATTGTATTGAGCAGAGTGAGATAAATGTGTTCCTTTCAATTGTGATAGTTTTGATCTGCTTCTACATGAAATTAGGGCATAGGAGATGTTTGGTTGTGCTATTTGGGAATGTGGCACTTGAAAGGGTCTTGTCTCTATTAAAGCTGAGATGCTAATCTTTTGAGAGGAGACTTCAACTCTCAAGATGAGATGCTCATCTAGCCAGTGGATATTAACTTACATACTGTAAGATACCCATGCCCAATATTTTTAATGCAATCACTATCATTTTGAAGGATGTAATATGCTAATTTAGTCAACTTTGCTCTTTCCTCAGCTAACCATGAATGATTTTAGTGTACATAGAATTATTGGCCGTGGTGGATTTGGAGAGGTGTATGGCTGTAGAAAGGCTGACACAGGAAAAATGTAAGACTAATAATTGTGTAATTTTGAATGGTTCTTAAGCGAGAATGCTGTAAACCAATGCCTGTGAATTTGAAACTTGAACAGGCTTATTAAGATTACTCTCAATTTGGCCAGTAATTATGATCAGAGGTACATTGTACATGTGGCCTAATTCAGAGTTGTAGGTGAGTCGATCAGTGTTAGTCGGTTTGGACAGTGGATGTTGTTGAGAACTTTTTTCCACTGAAATTTTTCAAATTAAAATTAATAAATGTGGTTGTAAAACAAAGCAAAATAATGTTTCAATGGTTTGAAGATAGTTCTTTAATAAAGTGAAATTTCAACATTGTTTCATTATAATGAACAAGAAAACTTACGTTATGGTATGTTAGTTTTAGTCTTTCTGTCTGGGTTTCCTTTTTGTTCACCAACAGCTGTATCTTGAGCTTGGGCCTGTTGTAGTCTTATCTGGTAAAAAAGAGACCCACATTTTGGTCTGAGATTCTTTGAGTTGGCAGTTCCGCATAAAATTGTTCAAAATGCTTCATTATTGTTTGGCCTGATTGGAATTCTATCCATTTTATTTGCTTGATCCGGTCATTATATTTTACCCTGTCACAACTAGTGCTGTAGTGCAGGAATTTAATTATGGCACAGCACACTAACTGCATGGTACATTTTTGTCATTTAAATGCAAATGATCATAATTTTTTTCCATAATGCAAGGTGTCATTTGTGTTATTTGGCTTGTTTTGAGACTGCCTTAAGTGTTATAGCTTGCAATGTAAACAGAGCTTTTTAAGATCTCCTAGCATAATCATTGAACCATAACATTCCTTTTTTGTTGCATCATTAAGGTATGCCATGAAATGCCTTGACAAAAAGAGAATCAAGCTAAAGCAGGGAGAAACTTTGGCATTAAATGAGAGGATTATGCTCTCCATGGTAAGTATTTTGTGAAAGATCTTAGATCCATTTCAAACCTCCTGCCACTGTCATGACTGTAGCACAACTTGGTTTTACGTGTCTAATTCAGTTCAGGCGAATAAAATAGAGCTACATGAACAAAACATAAAAATGACTGAGGGGACATAAAAATTCTGAAGTGCCCTATTTTCTTGATTACATGCTGGGTCCTCAGTAAACAGCTGGTGTAACACAGGAAGTTGTACATAAGCACACTAACAAAAAAGACCAGGCCCCGGTTGTCCAAACGCTGGATAGCGCTATCCATCGGATAATCACTATCCAGTGTATAAGTAATTGGGAAACCAATTGTGTTATCCACTCCACTTTTTGAACAACTGAGGCAAGGGAAATATTCTTGGTATGCAAATAATTGCCTCTGCTGCAGCGTGCAAAGAAAGTCGTGTCCGACAGCCCGGGGCCAGTGGATTTTGCTATCGGGCTAGTGTTTTTTGTTCTTAACTTGCCCGACGGGCAAGTGCTGTTTTTTGGGGAAATTCAAATTACAGAAGGATTGTTATCAATCCTGCCAATCAAAAAGGGCTTTGGGGCTAGTTGAAATGACTTGTGGGCTAGTACATGCTACCTACAGCTTGCCCGAATGGCAGGCTGTAAGACTGACTTTCTTTGCACCCTCTGCTGTCACCATTTGTGTCTGATGTCTGTCCAATTTCTTGTAAGTTAGCTGCTATGTTTTATTCCCATGTATCTCAAAGAGACTTGTTTAGTTTCATTGATCGTGTCCACCAAGGCAATCGATAGCTTTAAATTGACTTTCATGTTTTTAATGCCAGTGATGGTTTTTGTTGTTTTTTTATTAATCATCCTGTTTCAATTGTTATTTTTCAGGTCAACAATCCTTTTATTGTGTGTATGACATACGCCTTCCAAACTCCAGACAAACTGTGTTTTGTGTTGGACTTAATGAATGGTAGGTATTGCAGTACGTGTGGCTTTCCGCTGGCTGAGAAATAAATGACGCTGGTAACTTTTTTGTTACATACAGCAGGGAGTATGACTATGTTCTAGTGTGTAGGGATCTTCATGTCAGATACTCATTGAAAACTCAGTTTGTTTTCTTGCCATTGTCTTACCTGCCCCCCCCCCACCCCCCTCCATAAGCCTTCCATGTGTTTTCACGTTGTTTTAGCATTTCAAGTTGTGCCGTAGTTACAATATTGATGCTAGCCTCAGTTCTTGTTAGTTGGTTTCACAGCTGTTGTATATCTATTAGAAGTAGTATTTCTGATTAGTGGTGATTATATATAATGTCAGGCTTCATGTTTTGGCTTGGCATGGCTGTCAGTTGTTTGTGTGCAGAACCATTGTTATAAGATTGAGAGTCACTTGGAGCACTTTTCCCCACACTCCTATATTTTTGTGCATTATGTTATGTGCACTGCCGTCCCTAACCTTAACATAGATTTGGCCCAGGATTTTCATTTTTTTTTTTTTACATTAGAAGGGCTTCCCAAAATTGAGTAGGAGGGGAAAGTTAGAAGGTTGGTTTGAGAATCAGCTTCTCCATTTTCCTTCAGTGAAGGGCGGGCACTGTGCTCAGAGTAAATTGGTTCTGGTATGCAGCGCCCATCTTCTTATGAAACCAGCCAAAGATGAGTCTTAGAAATGTGATAAATAAAATATTGCTGTGTCCTTTGTAGCCCACCAACACAAATTTAGAGAAAAGAGAATTATAATAAGAGCTCTTTGTTCTAGCCTGGGGAGCTGGGGATAGGGGTAGATTGTGTTAATCTAACTTCTGGGATAACAGGTCAGGAACAGTTCTTGTGTGATCACACAGGAATTCTAAACAGTGATCAAGCTCATTTGTTACATTTTCCTGTTATTAATATTTATAAAACTCCTTTTGTAGGTGGTGATTTGCATTACCATTTGTCACAGCATGGTGTCTTTAGTGAAGAAAATGTAAGTGGCACTATACAGTCAAACCTTGATTATCCGGACTCATGGAACTTGAGTAAATAGTCCAGATAATCGAAAATATGAATACAATAATGTAAACATAGTGAATAAAGAAAACAAAAGTTAATTGTGAATTAGCTCCCACTTGCATTCTTGTACGGTCTGTATGTATTGTGTATTTACAAATACAACAGTTACTGTTTCAAGTGTTCATAAAACATTGTTTTAAACAAACGTATGGAAGGATTAATGAGCTTTTTATTCGTTTCAATTTTTGAAGATCACATCTTATTAATATTCATGAAACAAATAGGACCAGGGAAACAAATCTGGATAATCGAGGTCTGGATAATCAAGGTCCGACTGCATGAGTTACATGTACTACTTTTTTTCAACTTGGCTAGCTGCGTAAAATAATTTTATGTCCAGATTCCCCAGGCTTGTTACTTTTCAGCAGGTGCTGCGCCTGTTAGCCAATTGCAAAGAAACTAATTACCGTTCATTTGGTTTAAGTTTGTTGTGGGAGTTTTTAAAACCTTTTTTGTTTGAAAATATTTTACCTATTCGTGATCTAATTCTGATTCTAATGTCTTTTTTTATCCAAAAACCAGAATATTAGTTAAGGTCTGTTGAATGTAGATTATTGTAATGTTAGAAGACTACAAAGAAGTTAGTTTAACTTGAAGCTGTCTTGTATCTTTTGTTGTTTTTCACAGGTAAGGTTCTATGCTTCAGAAATAATTCTTGGATTGGAGCACATGCACGATAGAAAAATTTGCTATAGGGATCTTAAGGTACAAAAACATAAGTTAAAATATATCCTGATTAAGATATGCTTAAGCTTGTTAAGCTTATGTTGCATATATATAGTTGAGTTTAAAAGCTTAACAGGGATCTTGCAAGGCCAAACTAGGTACTGATGTTGTAGGTATAATCTTCTCTCAACGAACTAGCGTGATAAAGAATTTCCTTTGTTTCCTAGTCCTACTTATTCATAGGATTCAGAGAAAATTCTGTTTAACCTGAGAATGGGCTTAACTACTTAATAGATGTCTGTCTATTAACTGCACGTGGCAAAACCAAATCCAGGATTTTTTTCGGGTCCCTATGCAATGATTATTGAAATCTTGCGCAAACCGATATCTTACCTAAAAAAGAAATTAAAAAGCACTTACCCTTTCTTCCGTCTTTGTTGGTTTCTTTCAATATTCTTGAGATCTTCATTCTTTAAAATTTGTAAAAGAAAGTCTTGACTTTCACTGAAAGTGACGGCGGCGGGAAAATGATGTGTCATGTGACCTTTTTGTCTATATTTGGTTAGAATGAATAACGCCACTAGTAACGCTTCTTCGTGGCTGTCACACTGTCGGTAGAAGTTTAAGGCCATCCTCTTTTTTTTCCTCCATTTAGCGTCGTCTGGCCGACCCAAATTTTTGGCATTTTTAAAAATGAGCATAGTAACAGCATAGAGAAAAACAGTAACATTTTTTACAGTATATTGTGCATTTTGTTAATCCAAATTTGTGAATATTAACTTTTAACGTCATCCTGGGGTAACAGGGCCTCCTATTCCGAGACACCTTGTGATTTTTTTTAAGTGTTTTTATTTTCAGTCCGACCGACTGACCCAACATCAGGAAAAGCATTCGACGCTAAACGAAAAAAGAAAGGGGGTGGCCTAGTACTAAAGCAGGAAGCCGTATTCTCTTTCTCATGCGGACAAAATTAAACAAGTCGTTATGAAGAGCTTCACTTTTTTCTTGCAGCAATTTTTCTTACATAGTTGGGTTTAACGCTTATGGAAAGGAAAAGTTTGAAAAAATATATAAAAAAGAATAACAAAAAATAACAAAAGCTGGTAAAAACCGAAAAGGGGTGGTGGGGGGGGGGGAGGAATCAAAAAAGGGCAATGAATTCACAAATTCCGTCCTAGTTTTTAGAAGAACTGATCACAGCAAGTCTTTTTAACCGCTTTGAATCGCACCCTCAACTTTAACTAATCTACATTAGTTTAGATTGATCCACAAAATAATATAAACCGTTTTGAAAACCGCTTTTTTTAATCTTACGACACCTTTTCACGAGTAGACCAACACATAAAAAACCAATACCGAAAAATAAGGGAAGTGTGGCAACCCGAAAGTCCTTTTTTTATTATTATTTTTTTATTAGGAAAATTAGAAGAAAAAAAACTGAACGTTCAGGCAGGTGAATCGCTAATACACTGAAACTGCAAAACGCAGATTTCGAGAGCAACATTTGTAACCGTACCCTGCGAACAGAGTCTCCTTCGATCTTCCTAAATAAGTCGGGAAGAGGAAGGAAAGATCGAAGCGACTCTGCTAGTAGGGTATTGTAACCGAAGTATGGCATTTTAATATTTCGTGATACCGGACACAGATGACGTAAAACAAAAGAACAAAAATCATTAAACAAAGCCAAACAGATCATACTGATGAACAGAAAACAAAGAGGTCTTTTATTTTACATCATCTGTGTCCGGTACACCAAGTAAAAGCGCGAAGTACCCTAAACTGCTTAATGTTACGGCCTCCGCAAGGACGGTTTGATAGATGTCATTCGATTAACAACGATCTAATGTGGCTTTTTTTCTCTTGGTTTACAGCCTGCCAATATCCTGCTAGATGAACACGGCCATGTCAGAATATCAGATCTTGGTCTTGCTTGTGACTTTTCGAAGAAAAAGCCCCATGCCAGCGTGTAAGTACGACAGTATTAAATGAAATAACCGAAATCGGGGCCCAGTTCTTGTGTCGCCTGTGTATCAAAGAAGAGTATTTTTTGGTTTGTTTTCGCTGGTCTTATTATATACGAATCTCTCTTCTTCACAACTTTTTCTCATGCATTATCGTGCGCTTCTCATTTTTTAAACGGTTTCCGTTTCTTAGGAGCTAACGTACATTCTGTAGGAAAAAAAAATTTTTTTCAGGGTTGTGATTTCCCGTCGAAACTGAGAAATCTTTAAGAGATGACGCCCACATTGTGCCGGCTACATGTAGCGTCGCGGAAAAGTTACTCGGAAAAATTCTGTAAACGTCGCTGCCAAAATCTGACAGGATCAAAAAATGTTCAAAGGCAGTAAGGTTTCGGATAAGTGCAGCCTCTGTACGGGTAGCCGGCCCGAATTTCGGCCCTCTCCCTGCAAACTCCCCTACTGGATAGGCCAAATCCTTAGGGAGCTTAAGCAACGACGACGGCGGCGGCAACGAGAACGGCAAAAAATCAATAGGTACTTTTTTTATTGCCGTCGTTGCACGACTACAACGTGAAAGTGCCTAGATTCACGTTTTGTCGAGGACATGAACGCAAGACAACAACTTTCGTTTTCTTTTCATTAACTTTGATAAAGTCCTTTAGGATTCAACTCCCAAAAAATTTTGCCAACATTTGACGAATTTAACGAGATGGAATAAGCGCGAATTCGCTTTTTAAATGACGTTTTCGTAGCCGTCGCCGTCGTTGTTGCAGTGTGCATGCGTATCAACCGTGCTCCTCAGGATGTTCCAATCGTTTGACACGTTCGGTTCTTTCTCCGCAGCGGGACCCATGGTTATATGGCCCCCGAAGTTCTGAAGAAAGGTGAGGCATATGATTCCTGTGCGGACTGGTTTTCTCTCGGATGTATGCTCTTCAAATTGCTGGTTGGGTAGGTATACTATGGAATTTTTACAAATCTGATTTGTGTGATGACTTAACTCTGAGGGTACACAGTTAATACAGTTGGGCGCTGATCTCAAGCGACCGGTTAATCAAAAAAGCCCAGGAGCCAGTGCCTGGGTACCAGCGTAAAATGGTGTTGTGTTCGCACCTTGGGTGCCTGATATGTGACTGCGTACATAGTTACTCCAATTCGCCCCATCAGACGCCATTTTGAAACGTCAGCTTAGCAGCGAGTACAAAGCAGTCGACTGCCATATTACTTGCAAAAACAGTGTGCACAAAGGAACCCGGTGCCCACTTTTGTGTACGAGAACAAAGTCTCGACCTTGTACTCGGGTACCGGCACCGTGCCCGAATACTAGCATGGGTACTTGAAAAAAGGGTGTGTTCACATTAGTGTCCTACAGCGAGTACTCTTCTCGGGCACCGTGCCCGGGCACCAACGCTGCCCATTCAAAAGTCCTTCTAAAACTAATAAAAAGAAACACAAGCTGTCGAAATCACGCGTCTGTCTCAAGCAAAGGGAATTCCCGTTGCTTTGCCTTTATTTTTCATTCGCGTCGGGGACCAGACAACAGCCCCACAGTGCAATTCGAGTCAACTACCGACCCAGTCTCAAATCGGGCCAATAGTGATGTTTGGCTTTTTCATTTACAGACACAGTCCATTCAGACAGCACAAAACAAAAGACAAGCATGAGATTGATAGATTAACACTAACTTACGTAAGTATGGTTAACCTAAAAAAATCCACTTTAAGTACTAATTGGCGACATTATTTTACGTCCACAACTGGAGACGGGACCACCATTTTACGTGGTCATCCGAACCACGCAAGGGTCTAGCCCCGGAAATCGAACTCCCGACCTCCCGCTCTGCAGTCAAGCGCTCTACCGACTAAGCTAATCCTGCCGCTGTTAATACCCCAGTCACATGTAGAATTTGCGACCAAAATAAGATTCTGGGGTTTAACTCCAAACAGGTAAAAGAGTAGATAGATGACATGCTAGGAGACTGTTGTGCTTCTTCAGTTTGGATTAATCCATGAAATTGCCACTAAACCTGCACTAAAAGGATGCTAAGGCTGTTGTGTCGCGTGGTGAAAAGTCGGGCTATGCTATTGGTAAAAACATTGTTGTAACTCGAGTCAAAATAAACACGTATTCGCCATTTGGACATCTCTCATAAAACACCTCGTTTGTCCCCCAAAGTTTTGCATAACCTTTGCTTTTCATTTCTCCTGGATATTGCAGTTGCTCCCGGGTAAATTGAAGACAATGGTAATGCAAAATTGGAGCCAAACAAGGTGCATTATGGGAGATGTGCAAATGGCGAATAAGTAATAATTAGTTAAAGGTGACCAATTCCGCTTGTATTTAACGTGTTGTATGATTTTTACTCTTGCAGGATGTGGAGTACCCAGAATCCTTTTCAGAGAACATGAAGTCGTTACTTGCAGGACTTCTCAATCGAGATGTCCCCAGCAGGCTTGGCTGCACAGGCTCAGGGTAACTTGGTTTATTCTATTTGTTGCAGTGTTATACCAACAATTTACTCTAGAAACCAAAATACAGTCGAACCTCCACTAACTGTCCCTTCTCCACAACGGCCGCTTCTCTACAACGGCCACTGTTTCTGGCGGACAGACCTTGGAACCTCTGCACAACGGCCACGTTGGGGACATAAGAAAGTGGCCTTTGTAGAGAAGTTTAAACAAGAGTCAATGTATGCACTGTCCGCACAAAAAAAGTGGCCGTTGTTGAGTGGTTGCCGTTGTGGAGAGGTGGCCGTTAGTGGAAGTTCAACTGTACAGTCAAACCGAGGGAAAAGAAGAGGTAGCAATGTTCAAAACACGAATGCTCCGCCATCCATATACACGGTGTATGTGACATTGTATATGAGGGTCTGGATTTTGAACACAGAGCCTTATTGCTTTTCTATTTTCTTCGCAGAGCAAGAGAAGTGAAAGATCATACTTTTTTTAAAGAACTGGATTGGAAGTTGGTTGAACTCTTAAAGGTAGGAGGCCGTGTTGCTAAATAGAAACCAACTTAACGGGACGAAAAACGTTAATCTCCTGTTAGCCTGCTTTCGGTCGTTCTTTTGTGGATGTGGGAGCGTACGTGGGGAGCGCGAATTTTGGAGAAGGTGTGAATGGTGGTCCTGCGACCGAAATTGCTTAATTGCCGGCGCAATGTGTAATATAAGCCATATACAGCTGATTGGAAAGGTTGTTACAAGCTTCAAGGTTTACATTCGCCGCTTTAGGAACGAGAAAGGAACTGGTCCGAGTTATGTTTCGCAAAGGCTTCTGGGATCGTTACTAAGGACAGAGGGAAAAATTGCCAATAGCTGACCGCCGCGTCCCCTTTAACGATCCCAGAGCGACAATTGCGGGACACATTTCGGCTCTAGCTCCCTTCTTGTTTCTAAAGTGGCGAATGACAATGCCGAAACGGAGTCTGGAATATCGGAATGAATCAGCCCGTAAAGTCTATCGTGTTAGTCGCGAGAGTTAGTCGACTCCGTGTGTCGTGAGCACGTCTATAAATGAATCTTAACAAGTAAACAACAAAGACTGAACCAATTCACTTAAGGTCTTCTATCTCTGAATTCTTCGTTTATGGTTCTTTTCCCACTTCATTGAAACGCTTAGTCAAGAAAGAACTTTTTAAGTTTTTTGTGACAACCATTCTCAAATCAACTGAGCATTCCTGGAAAAACTTTCGTCTTCGGTGAACTTTCCTGAATTAATCTTACTAGGGCCATTTATAGCAGGAAAAATAAGACGTGTCCTAAATAAGACGCAAACTGTCCCTTATAAACGGCGACTTGACTAAGACGCGTCTTGTTTTAAACACAAAAAAACATTTTCGCCTCAATATTTGGCGAAGTGAATTGCGGAATACGTTTTGAATTAAGCTCTGTCGGGGTTAAAACTTTGCTTGTCCCTGACGACTACTTCTGTTGACAGAGTCATTTTTACCATTGTTATGCCATCTGTTCACACAGTACCCGCCACCACTCGTCCCTCCTAGAGGTGAAGTTAATGCCGCTGACGCATTTGATATCGGCTCATTTGACGAGGATGACGTCAAAGGCATCAAGGTAATATTCTTGGCTTATGACCACGTGACAAGGCGGCCATGTTGGTTAATAACCTCGTTCCCAGGGTTCTCTGAAGAAAGAGAACCGTGGGAACGAGGTTGGTTGGTTGACAAAATACATTTTTTACATAATTTGCATGAAAAACAGTTTACTTCTTAGCGGGAGGGAGCACTTTTGGTCTTTTCAGCCAACATTCAGTTGCCAACCAGCAATAGTAATACAAAAGAATGGTTAAGAGTGAATGGTTGGGCTGAATGAGACCTTTATCATAATTCCTGTTTATGTGAAGGCACGCGCACTTCGCTCGAAAATCGGACGCAAGCACTTCTTGCCTTGAAAACCAATATTGAGAAAAAACTGACTGCTTTGCAGTCTTGTTCAGTTACAACCGCACGAGAGTCCAGTGGCTTACCGGAAAGGCTTGTTCAGCGACCAAGGGACAAGATGGTAACTCTCTACCTTCAACGATGCTTGAGTTTAAAATAACCACATATTGTAACGAATCAAAATGGTTACTTTTCCTTTAAGATGACGGAACAAGACCAGGAGATTTATAAAGATTTCAACTTAACGGTGTCAGAGAGATGGCAGCAAGAAATTGCTGGTATGTTTTGATAGATACCTCTCACAGAATGATTAAGGAGCTAACTTAATCTCGACTAAATGGCCAGTCAAATCAACAACTTGAGTTTAAACGAACCTTCTCAGTGGCCGATCCAGGGGAGGGGCACGCCCCCCCCTTTTTTTTATAGACCAAACTGAGGCCTGAAGGGCCGAAAAAAATTTTGTGGAGACCGTCTCCCTCCTTATCTCAGGGTCTTGATGACCAGCCCTGCGCCCCCCCCCCCCCCCCCCCCTTTTCTTTTCCACCTTTTCCCCCCCCTCCCCCCCCCCCCCCCCCCCCGCGCCCCCCCAAAACGCTCCCGTCCCTGAATACCACCAGGGGTGTTTTTTGAGGAGAGGGCCACCCAACCCCCCGCTTTGGCAGGGGACGTTGAGCGCGTTCCCCCCTCGACGTCTACTTGCGACCAAAGGGGCGTAAAAAACAACCACTGTGTGTTAAACGCACCTCTCCCGGGGCGGCCCGTGGGGGGGGGCCCCCCCCCCCCCCCCCCTTGTTTTTAAACCAAACTGAGGCCTGAAGGGCCGAAAAAAATTTTGTGGAGACCGTCCCCCTCCTTATCTCCGGGTCTTGATGACCAGCCCTGCCCCCCCCCCCCTCCCCCTTTATCTTAAGATCTGGATCCGGCACTGTTCCCCGCACCTCCCCGTAAGTGACCACCCAAAATGGTCGCTTACGAGAATAACCACAGGGTTGTCTTCTGAGAAGAGGCCCCGACACATCTACTTTTTGGCAGAGAATTTGTAGGCCTTTCCCGCATTCCTGTAAACAAAGGCATCAAGTCGATGCTTGGGTGGAGAAAATACAGTGATTTGTATGAAATTGTCCACCCGAACCTCGACCTCACTTTTTAATGTTTGCTCACTGGAGCGGAATGCGGGAAAGGTCTATTGCATGCAATTTCTAAGTCAACATTATCACATGTAGCGACATGTTCTCACCGAAAGTTCTTCGGGTACTCGGAGCGGCGTAGTACATGTTTTAGATAGGTGATCGCTTACGAGAGGTGGTCTTACAAGGAGTTTCGACTGTACCATCAACTGATGATATCGAATTTACCTTTATACGATGTTTATTCCTGTGTAATCTGTTTTAAATTGCAGAAACTGTATTCAAGGTTGTCAATGAGGAACACGACAAGTTGGAAGCCAAGAAGAAGGCAAAACATCAGAATTCAATAACGGGTAAGAAATACATGAATTTGGAATGTTCACGTGCACAGGATTTTTTCCACCTTCTCGAAAGTTACCGTAGGGTTACCTTTCTCTGTGGATCTTTATAACAATGAAAGGCTTAATGGGGGATTGGAGGCTGAGGCTTTCGTGGAGTATTAAAAAGACTGACATTTGTTTGTCAGTTAAACAAACAAGCAAGGTTGATGCGCGACTAGATGTTCAGAGGGATCGGATACCCACCTAGAAAATTCGGTCCGCTTTTTAGCAGTGGACGTAGAAAGTGTCCTTTATCAGCATTTTTATAACAGAATTCATGACTCAGTTTCCAACAAATTCTTACGTACTTTTTTCACGTCTTTAGTTGCAGAAGATGGTGACCACTTGTTGGAAGGTTATTTGTACAAATTAGGGGGAACTTTGATGAGCAACTGGCCGAGAAAATACTTCCACCTCTTTCCTAATCGACTTTTACGTACTTTTTTCACGTCTTTAGTTGCAGAAGATGGTGACCACTTGTTGGAAGGTTATTTGTACAAATTAGGGGGAACTTTGATGAGCAACTGGCCGAGAAAATACTTCCACCTCTTTCCTAATCGACTGGAATGGAGAGGCGAACAGGCTGGGGTAAGTTTTCTGTTTCCCATGAAAGTATCCGGGGGTCATGTTCATGGCAGCCAGGGCGGAAATCACCTGCTCTTAGTTACAGCTCTGATTGCTGTTTTAGAAAGTCATTAGTCTCCCCTACTTCTCTCTTAAAGGCTTACCGGTCCCTTCACACTTCTTTACAATACATTGATAAACTCTTCAGATGTTATAACAGGCATGAAGAAAATTAGGACCATTAGTCATAAAGTGTGAGGTTCTCTTCTGATGAAGGTCATGCTGTCCTTTGTATCGTTAGCAAATGCCCAGTCTTTTATGTATGGAGAACATTACAGGAGTTGAAGAAACTCAAGTCAAAGGCTTTAAATGTATAAAGATCAGCACAAACATCCGGGATAACAGGGATCACATCCTAAGAGCAGAGGTACTCGTAGCAACAGTACAATCATGATAGAAACACCGTAATTTTTAGGGAGTCATTTTGACTCCGAAAATGGAGTGAAAATTTTAGGTACAGGATAACCCGTTTTGGGGGGTTACTTTAAATCCTAATTTATCTCCGAATTTGGGTTCATTTTTACTCCTGAAAAACGAGTTCTTTTTACTCCCAGTCTGGAGTTAAAATAACTCCGAAATGGGGTTATTTTTACTCCTTACATGGGTTGTTTTTACTCTTTTTGGAGTTAATTTAACTCTGAAAGTGGAGTAAAAATTGTAGGTACAGGATAACTCCTTTTTGGGGCTATTTTAACTCCTCAATGTCTGGGGTCACTTATTCCCGAAAAAGAGTGCTTTATACTCCTTTTTGGATTTAAAATAACTCCCCAAAAAATAACTCCACTGTAAGGAGGCAAATTAGCCCCACTAGAGGAGTTATTATAACTAACTGAAAATTACTGTGAAGCAAGATAGTCAGGCCAGTTTAGGTGTTATTAAAATAAATACTTTGCTCAGAGGCTAGGAGGAATAAACCAAAAGAAATCAGTTCGACATTCAGGGATAAATAATTGATTTCGAAGCAACGGAGTAGGGTATCAATTTTAATGTATCGAAATCGGCTCATTGATCTGTTAGGCCTCGCTTCTCGGTATTCATATTCTCAAACTTGCCCTGTGAAGGATGATTAGCTTAGCATAAATTTTCTGCGAATTTCTGCCGTAGAACTCTTGAAGAATTATTGATCATTCTAGAAGCTGACCTCGATATCTGACTATCCACCCTGGACCACGTGGTTTGGTATCTAGATCAAATCAAAGAACACAGATCAGTTAGTGGATTGTAAAGGGTTTATTGTCGTCGCCTTAGAAACATCTGCTAAAGTTGGATAGTTAAAAAAGACAAGAACTCACTTACGAACTGTCGATATTGACTGCTATGAGTATTGCTAATCTTTTACTGTTGTTGTTTCTTACCTCTATTCTAGACCGAGACGGAATTCCAAGAATGGATGAAAGAGATCAAACAGTCATTTCAGCAGGCGCAGGTCATGATGCGCGCGGGCGCGAAAATCATGAGTTCCGGCCACCGTTACATCACGCAATACAGCAAAGAGGAAAACGGCCCGGTGTCGCCATGATAAAATATCGTTCTCACGCACATCTTCCATCCTGTAAATACACACAGATTAAAATCAAAGAGTTCCAGCTTGAGAGAACGGGCTTCAAACTGCTACTGTTTTCCCAGTGGCAAAGAACATGACGTAGTAAATAGGTGTTGTATGATTGGTCAGTACTATAGATGTGAATTACCTACCATTGCCTGCGTATAGGCACAAACAAAGTATCATGGATTGGAGAGAGAAATTTTGGCGCGATTGTGGTGTATGGCGGAATGACATTATTCTTCGCGGTTACGTGGCTGAAGACGACGTCGTCACATGTTTTGTCATTGGTTCCATTTAGTTGTTTTAATTGCCTTTTAAAGGGTACAGTTCATCGAGTCATTGAAAGTATATGGAATTTCCCTTTCTGCAGCACCTGCCAAAAGAGAAAAATTATCAATGTCCATAGGTTTATTATGAAATTTCTCCGTCTTTTACACTTGTACAAAATTCTAAATCAATTCTTAACTTAAGTGAAATAATTTCTTTCTGCGTTTATCTCTTAGCATCTTAGTATCGTGATGGTAGTTGCTGAAAATATATGTGGATAGAATATCACTTGTAGGAGAGAGATGTATGCAGAAGTTAGAAAAAATATAGCAGTCTGAGACGCCAACATCGAACTGATATATAAGTCCCGCGATATTTGCTGGGCAAATTTTAACCATATCGGCAAGCATTGTATGAGTCTTGAAAACTTTCCGCTGTGTATATTTATTTGCGAGGCAGTTTAATTTGTAATGTCGTCTCAAGATGGTCATGAAAAATTGTCTGTACTCTTGTATATGATTCTTTATGTTCTTGGCATTGCGTGTCTTCTGAGTAAGGATTGTCAGTCTTGCTTTGCCGAGTTGAGTTAAAGTATTTCTTTAGAGATATAACAGTGGCGGATCCAGGGGAAGGGTCCGGGGGGTCCGAACCCCCCATCCCCCATCAGACCTGACGCTTGTTTGAGGCTGAAATTCTTACATCGACAGGATCGTATATCACTTTTTAATTGGCTGGGTTTTTTAATAAAACGCGCGTTGCATTTTCCCACAAATCTAAATGCTAGGAATATTCAAAAATGTAATTCTTTTTGGGTACCATCCTATGATCTGTTCGCCTCTGCTCGCAAAGCAGTATTTCCCGCGCAAACGGCGACCGGCGTTCACAGATTGGGAAACACTTGGTCGTCTCTGTGAGAAGTAATTTGCCACAAAAAAGTTCAACAGTCCTTTCTGGACCAAAGTTTGGACCCCCCAATCAAACACTCCTGGATCCGCCCCTGTATAATAGAGAATAGCCGAATAAGCTGAAACCTTTTTTGTGTTATACCAGTCTTAACCCTTTAAGCCCCAATATCCAACTACAAATTCTCAACACTGTTCTCCATACATTTCGATGAAAAATAAGCTGAGAGAATTTGTTTAAATATCAAAGCATGTTTCCTTCAGTGATCATGTTATCAATTCTTATAACCTAATTTCTTCAGTATGTAACTGAGACTGTTAGGAGAAAATTGATGTTGGTCACTCCTGGGACTTAAAGGGTTGAATTAATCCGAGTATGTGTTGATCACTTTGAGAAAGTCTTGACGCACTTTTGAATTCTCCCAAGGAGTAGGAAAGAAATTGTGATAACGATCTCTTAGGAAGTTTTACTTTCATCTTAGAATGACAGAGGTAGATGTAAAGAATACCTGGTTGACTATTGAGCCGTGTTTTCTCAAATAATTAGTTTGACACGTGCAGGCGGGGCGTAGCGAGGTGATTTTTTAGGTACGCAGTGTTTTCCATATCCACCCTACCCTCGCGCGGTTTTTCTCACGTAAGTGAACAAATGTGTACTGGCATACAGGCATAAAAGGCTTTTTATTTGGGCTGCTCTTGCAAGAGAAGATATATTTGCCCAATTTCCCATAATACCCCACCCGCAAGTCGACAAAGCCTACTAGGTGTCACCCCCATGCATGAAAGGGAATCCAAGACTCTTGGATTCTGGAATCCTCGCCATGTATTCTGGATTCCAGTAATTGGATTCCGGGTGTTTTGTCAGTGGAACTTGGATTCTGGATTCCACAGCGAAAATTTGCTTGATTTTCGATTCCAAAAGCAAACATTTCCTGGGTTTCGGAATCTGGGTTCCCTGACGTGGGTTAATTGGGGAATGGCTATGCAGTGACTTAGTTAAGCAAAGCCGCACAAATGGAAAAATATACCGATTCAAATCCACGCATGTAAACTTGTGGGTTAAAGGTGGATTTAACCGTTTTTTTTCTAGCTTATCCACTCTGAAGATCGTTTATGGTGATCGTTTCCAATCCTCAGCTTTTGCTGAAGACCTTGAACGGAGAAGTTTGCGCGTTTACAGCCTTAAACGGACCTAAGCATTCCCCAACACATATGATGCACTATATCCCTGATTTTCCTTGAATTTGACACCCTTTTTCAAAGGTATGGAATGAAAAAAGAAAAGGCCATGTTGCCGAGACCCGGGATTATTCAGAGCTTATGTGAACCCTTCGGATTTGAACCAGGGACCTTCAGATCTTCAGTCTGACGCTCTCCCAACTGAGCTATCTCGGCAACTTATTGATGAGATTGAGTTGATCTCAGTAGCAAACCATTCTTGCGAAGTATGTTCCCTCTCAGTTTTAGTGGACATTAAGGTGCTCCATGGGGTTTTTCCGGGTCAATACATCCCAAGTTTGACTGAGCATAAACTACGTCGCCATTAACAAAGATTTAGAAAAATTACCACCACAGCTGTATTCGATAACGATGAAAATTTTTTATGATCAAGGTTACAATTACATCGGAGTTGTCATGGCAACGAAATGACGCCATTACCTATTTTTCTTGAAGCCGTATTTCTAGGCTCTACGAATTTCTCTTCCAACATCGTTCACGGGTGTTTTTTTCTTCCAACAGCTGCGTCGATGTTCGTTATGTTTAAACGAAATCTATTAGAGCGTTATCGAGATATTTTGGGGTGACGTACGGTAAAAACTGGACAATCCTGATGTTCAGCCGTTATTTGTAGAAAACGAAGCGCTTTTGAAACACACTTTTACCTCATGGTAGTTTCAATATTTTTAAAACGTGTGTGGAAGATAATGGGGGTAGCTTTAGCCGTTTGCAAGAAAGAAGGTTTGATTATTATGTTTTGAGGCGCTCCTATTAGCGGTTTTGTAAACATTTTGGTCTACTTAAACAAACAAGCGAATAATTTTGAAAAATCTCTACAATTTTTTTTAAATTAAAGATTCTCGAGATTAGCATCATAAGATCATTGATATCTCTTAAGGCAATACTTAAGGGTTACAATTGGCTCATTTTTTATCGGAAATTTCCAGTTTACAAGTGAGATCCTCTAATTATTTTGGGTATTGTCTCCAAGTTTCATAATTTGGTGGACAACAATAGCTGACATTTCTGCATATTTTAAATGCATTGTTTAGTTACTGTTGTTCATGTGAAAATGAAACTTGGAGACAACAGCTTTGAATAATGAGAGGCTCTTACTTTTCTTTACAGGAAATTTCCGACAGCAAAATTTAGAAATGGGGCCTATATTTTATTGCCTTACAAAATATCAATTATCTTGAAACTCAAAGGTCACACAAAACGTCGGTTAATCTCGAAAACCTTTAAGTTTTTAAAAAAATCTTATCCAGCGGTTTCAAAATTATTCGCTTATTTGTTTAAGTAGACCAAAATGTTTACAAAACCGCTCAAAACTGCGCGCCTCAAAACATATTAATCAAATCCTTCTTTCTTGCAATCGGCTAAAACTATCCCCTGCCCCATGAACTGTCTCACATGTTTTTAAAAAGATTGAAACTACTATGAGGTGAAATTGCGCTTCAAAAGCGCTTCGTTTTCTACAGATAACGGCCAAACAGCAAGATTGTCCAGGTTTACCGTATATTTGGCCATAAAAACTTCATCCCAAAAGATTCGATAACGCTCTTATAGATTTTGTTTAAACTTCACACGAACATCGAGGCGGCTATTGGAAAAAAAAGCTTCCGTAAACGATTTTGGAAGAATTAGAAGAGTACCCAGTGCCGAGAAATACGGCTTAAGTAAAGTCAGAAGCATAATTATAACCCTTATATCCTACTGGTAAAGTAGATAATGGCGTCATTTCGTTGCTACGACAACTCCAATGTCATTGTGACCCTGATCCGGTAACAAATTTTCACAGCTGTGGTGATAATTTTTCGAAATCTTTGTTAATGGCGACGTAGTTTCTCTCAAACTTGGGAGGTATTGACCCCCAGTACATTTTGTTAATTGTAATTATCTGTTTTAATGATTTGTAGCAAAATTTCTGTTAAACATTATTTTCCGATTGCTCATGATGTGAGATACTTTTTCTAAGATAAAAGTGAGGATTTTGATTTTTAGTCAGTAATAATTGTTTAATTTTCCAAATAAATAAATTTATACTACTACATGAGAAATTTCTGCAATTTGATTGGCTTAGAGCAGTGGTATTTTAGCTTAATTTAAAATACCTACATGTGAAAATTACAATAGTATAAACAAATAATAAATAGCATGATTTGTACGTGATATTTGGCATAAATACTACTCGTGATATTTCAAAATTGCCTCAAATTTCACTGCCTAACGGCTCGTGAAATTACGTATAACAATTTCGAAATATCACTCGTGGTATTTATGCCAAATGCCACTACAAATTATGCTATTACCTATTATTACCTATACAAATAAATGAAAATCAGACTGACAAAACGTCCACGATAGTCTTGAAGGCGGTTACACCACACGGAGTATGCGCAATGATAGTGCGCGCGTAATTTGAGTCTCCAAGTTTTGCATGTGATAGCCATCTTGTACTAGCAGTTTTTTTCCCGTGGAAAGGCAAAATTGCATATATTTGTTCGTCTAGTACTGAGTCTGCCAGTATCTGAGTCTGTATAATGCGCCTGACTGAAACGCCGTTGAGTGAAAGCTTCGCTTGCACTAACGCCCAGACTAACGGCGGACATATCGAAGATGCCGGTGGCCGGGAAGAAAGCAAGACAGAATAGTCACAGTTTTCACCAATGACGGCGGATTTAAGTTATCACCAAAACGTAAGTGTTTATTGTTACATGAGCTATATTTGACTGTGAGGCTATAATACTGAGTAGATTCATGGATAATAGAAAGACTGGGTCTTTCTATTATTCATGGTGGATTATATAATAAGTCAACCTCTTTAGTGTCACGTCACTGCGAGGAAGAAATCTCTTCGCGCTTCTATCGTAGTTGCTCGGACTTAAAATATGATATCCTTGCTACCTTTTCTTGATTAAGGAAAGTAGTCCAAAGATTTCGTTTGATTTTCAATTGCGGTCGACAATCTGTGAAATTTTACAAATTGCGGACCGTTTTGCTTCCTCGTCACGCAACGCTCTCAGGGACCGCGGAGGGGGAGGGGCTGGTAGGGCCGCGGCCCCACCACTTTTTTGCGCCCCCGCCCCCACTTTTGGAAAATCAAATACTGTGATTTTATTCCTTTTTTCCATTTTCAATATGAAAAAATTATTTTCAATTGTCAGCCCTCCCACTTTTCACCTTGCTCCGCGGTCCCTGGCTCTTCCCTACATGACGTTGTGTGACGACACAAACGTTGCATACAAAGGGGCGCCTTTTCCCACGGGGGAATTCATGGATTATGACGGTATCTCTCCATAAGTACGCACGCGGTGAGTGGTCAATTCATCGGGCAATATTCTACTGTACGCTTCGCTAAATTAGGAAGCCTTAACCTTAGAGGAGATATAACATATATCTTGCTAACCTCGGTATTCGTGCTGTAGCCAGATAAATACTTTCTCCGAGACAATATCAGAAACAAATTTTTTCTGTGTAGTCGTTGTACCCAAGAGCATTGAAAGTTTTGGTGACGCAACTGCCTCGGTTGCCTCTACTCTGGCTACTGGTGTGCAGTACAACTACATGGTTCAAAATAAAGACTGGTCAACGGACAATGTCCAGACTTTGACAGGTCAAGTCAGGGAAAATTTAAGCCTTTGAGAGAAGTCAGGAAAGTCAAATTTCAAGAGTACATTTGTACATTTTACAGACATGAATTGTGTTGTATTGGTAGAATATTGTTCATGAAATCGAACAACAAGCTGATGTTGGATTTTCAAGAAAATTAATCCTTTTTGCACGATATGTTAAGGAACTATCAGTTCATGTATGCTGCATGAGACTCGCGGAAAGCACGAACAAATGGGCGGTGGGGATGGCTGTGTGGGGAGCGTTGAGTCCATTTTCAGGACTAATTTGTTAAACTTTTAATTCAGTTGGTCAACCTTTGGTCGACCTTTGTCCAAAAATTATTTTGAGCCCTGAACTATCCGTATTAAAGACAGTACCGCACGGACACAGATATAACGCAAACGACATCAGAAAAGTGCATATGAAGAATATGAAGTTACTGAGTAGACTTGTACTTGCTGACTGTGCAGATTACTGTTGACTTGCTGTCTAGGTGGATTAAAAACGCCACCACGCCCTTATTATATATTTGGTGTACTTTTGGTGAAATATAATTTGGTTCGATCGGTTATCGAATATTTTACTAAGTTTTGTATTGATCAAAGAAAAAAAAAAGACCTTTAAAAATTATCACTGCAAAAGTTTCTAATGGGGATAAGCGCTTTTGCAATTCGAGATACTGAAGTCAGAAGAAGGCATGGAGTAGCTTGCGAGCAAGTAGTGGCCGGATCGAAGCGACCAGCGTGAACGCGCATGAAAGTAACGTGCGTGAATTAAATAGAGGAAATATATGTGTGGTAGCGCGTAAACGTAAAAGTTGAGCGTGGTTCAACTTTAACGTTCATGCGCAACCTTCCATACATTGCCTCTATTTATTTACGCACGTAAAAAGTACGCGTCAGTGGAAATCCTCCGCATTGTACGTAGCCTGCGTGGCAGGCGTTCGAAAGAGAAGGGTTAATGAATTAATGCGCTCGACCACGCGGAGCGAGGAGAGGAGGGTTCCTTTCCTTTCTCCCTTGCGGGCTCCACACGCTCTCGCGCGCCCATGTACGCAGGCTACATTGTACTCGCCATCGCGTCTCCTCTTGCTACTCGCGCGCGACTTCTCACGCGATATCCCCAAATGGAGATCTTGCTCTCAGGTTAGCCAAGGAGTGACCTTAGTACTTAGCTGTCTAATTGGTCCAAATTAAATTAGCTTTTTACCACAAAAGAAATTAAGAAACAATGGATTAAATCCTGCAGTATCTAAGTATGTAATCTGAAAATTGATTCTACGCCTTTCTTTTATGTAAGAGAAAAACCACTAATTGATGCACGTTTTCCTTTGATAACCTGCTGGGGTCTTCGTAAAATGAATAAAAGGTGCTTTTATGACAGTAAATAGCTCTTATCCTATCTATATGTATCCCTTTATAAAGGTGTTCCCTAATCCCAGTTTGCTTAGATCAATTAAACGCATTTAGTGATTGACTCCACGTGTCCATTAAAGCTTAAGATCCTCTTCAGGAAATGGAAAAATTCCAAAATGATATTTACATATGAATCTAAATCGACCAAACCCATCGCTAATAATAATTTTTTTATTGAATTTGGAGTTTACTGGAAGCAAACCTCTTTGAATCTGAACGAAGGATGGTTAATTTGTTTGCTCCCCAGTGTTAGGATTTTATTGTGCAGTACATGGGCGTATTCTAGTAGAAAAATTACACTGTTTTCAATTACATTTGGCACTTCGCCTCTTTTCTAAGTAAACACTCTATTCTCAAGATGAAATAGTGGATAAAAGGATACATTAGTCGTTTTGTGGTGGGCGCGAGGGCGTAAATTTGTTTGCTGAAATGGGACGTTTTCTTCCGGGCTGCCAATTTATTGAAATTAACCGTGGATGGAAAACGAATTAACCAAAAAGAATTAAGAATCTCGTGTTTCACTAACTAAATGGGGCGCTCCATGTACACTAGCCAGCGAATGTGTTTTCGCTCTTTATCAGCAAGTGTATGATCCGTGAAAAAAGAGGCTTACGGAATTAGAACTAAACAAGACCTATTAAGGTACAAAATTAACTTGAAGCAATTAATAAATTAAGCAATTTGCGAGTTTGATGTGCTTAGAGAGGATCTAAAAAGGCCAAAATGGTTATCATTTCAAAACAGGTCAAGAACGAAAGAGAATATATCCATTGGATTGTTTTATTAATGACGTTATCTAGTAGATAAGGGCTTTGAAGGCACCGGATCTTCTTGTCTCCTTTTATTCATGTTAATTGTGCGGCAAAAAGTTGATATAATTCGTCATCTTCCATCTTCCATCTTCTCTCACGAATGGGCCGGAGTTTTCTTGGGTGGTCTCAGAATAAACCCCAGGAGGTCAATATCCATTAGCGTTTTGCGCGAGATGGGATCCGAACGCGCACGATATATCGAACATAGAGGGCATGAATAAATGCGATACCTCGCACCACTTAAACTAGCAAATTCGTTTTGTTTCTTTTTGTTTCTCACTTACTTCTTAGTGAAGTGTAATAAGATCCTACCTACAGCCAGCTGCCACATTAGCGAGGCCTCAAAAACAATTTGCTGCAATTAGTGCTAATTACCATTCCAAAGAATCCGCAAGTGTGCAAGAGATGATGGTGCTTTTATAGAGAGCTATCTATTGGCTTGTGGGCTCAAGCCCATCTTGATACTCCTCTAGCGATAGCCAAACTCAAATTCTTCGGTGTTTGCGAAAATTTTACACTCGTCCCATTTTACAAGCTCATATGGCGCGAAACCTTCTGAACCAAAGAAATTTCTCGATTAAGGATTTTTAATGGACCGGATTTGTTTTACAATTGTGGTTTTATCGTTGAAATAACTTGAAGCGATTTATCGAACGGCGATTAATGAGTTTTTCTGGTTGAAGCGACAAAGATCGATAAAATCGATCACGTTTACTTGCTAGTGCAAAATCTCATGGGATGGGGTTTAAAACGAAAATCGCCCGACCAGAGGTTTGATGTAACTTTTGATGCCAAGACCTCGGATACCCAGGAGGGAAATGACCGTGCCAATTGGCTGACAATTACTTAATGTTCCTTCGATAAATACACCGGAGCGGCATTATTTGATATGTGAATGAGTCTATCCACAAGATATAAAAATAAAATAAGTAACCGCCGACTAATTTTACTTATAAATGGTTTGTATTGTGTTGGGTAACAAAATAACTTTGTTTGTGTCAAACTCGAAATCACGAGTGAATAACACTTCTCTTTGCATTGTAAGAGTGATCGCTTTTTTTGTCTCGAACCCGAAAGGGTGAGTGCTTTTCCTCTATTGTTTTCCTCGCCGACTGAGGCAAATTAGTTGTACATATTTAATGGAGTGCAACAATGGCTAATGGTTTTTCTGTTATTTATCCGGACTGCTAAAACCATTTGTCAATTTCCCTTTTATCTTCGTTAGGCGGAGAGTATACTCGCCGACAAAGGAAATGACTTATCTTGACTTTTCTGTATTTTGTGTTTTAATAGTTAATTGAATTCCACCTTCGATTATCTTAAGATAATGATTACTAATTGACACCTTTTCGAGTAATGATATAAACTAATTGTGTAATGATCACCGTTAATTTAACTGCACAAGGAGGGATAAATCATGGCGATTTACCCTGCGTCCAGTTGTGCAGTCAGTTGTATCGTTTTTGAGATGTTTGCTCGCAGATTTTCCAGTGGGCGCCTGCTTGCATTGCGCTAGGTATCAACTCAATAAGCTGTGAATGCGTATTCAAACAAGGGAAGCCTTCGAACTGTCAATCACGAAGAGACATCCAGTAATCGTAACAAAGAAGGCAAATAAGTTAGCCATCTGCTTCCAAGACATTTCAAGCGTTGTACACATCTGCGAGGAGCAAAACTTCCCAACTCAACGCAGCAGCAACATCATGTTTTACCAAGACCCTTTCTTGCTCTACCAACAAACTTCATTTTGCCACGGCAGTTCACCGGCGCGAAGTGGCTCTCAAAATCGATCATCGTTCCGAATTGATGACATCCTGGTTCCAAGGCAGCCTTTCCTAGTTTCAAAACAGCCAGGCTTTCAAGAGTCTAGACCGCCTGCACCAAATGCCAACCCGTTGAAATTTGGCATGCACTCGATCCTCACGCAGAGACCTCGAGAAGACATGCCCTTGTTTCAAGGTGAGGAAGTAACTTTAAGCACTTTCTATACCGCAGCTTTTGGCACGCTGAAAGTCAATTGTGAACCTATTTATTTATTGTCAATTCCTGAATTTTAAACTGTTTTCAATAGTTTTGCACGAGGCATTTGAAGCTAAGGAGAAAAAATGTCTCCAGTCGTCGAATGCTTGCAATATTGGCTTGCATGCTAACTTTCTAGAGGCATGTGTGCTGAAGTAACAGACAGTGTGATTTTCGTGAGTCCACTAAACCTACAAAAACAGGTTCCAAATTTTGAGACTCCACTTTATTCTGTACCTTGCTAATTTCTGTAGAGTGAAAACGAGCTCAGCAACGTGAAAGAAAATAACTAGACAGTGGAAAAGACCCGCGTAACACAAGAAAAGTCCGCCTACGACTAAAGGCTTGTATCACAAAAGAAAAAAGGCTTTATTAAAAACTGGCGTTTGCGTTAGCTATCCTCTTTTTTAAACCCAAGCGAGTATACCCTCTGGCACCCAGGGAAGCATTTTGCTTTACGAATGAGAGAGATCAAAACTTAATAAATTGGACATTAACTTGTGAAATAAGGGAATTCATTTTCTCGCGTGTTGTTTCGGAATCACGACCAACCGTGCCAGCTTGCTTCAGACATAACATCTCCATTGAATCACCGCACTGATAAAGTAATGGACGCGGCAATGAACACAGAGAAAGATTAATGACATTTAAAGAGGATATATCTCCAATTTTTTTGTAGCAATTTCGTAATGACAAAAAAATCACAAAGAGGGGAAATCGAGATACAATTTGGTTAAATGAAAACAAAACCAACAAAAAAAGCACACGAAGAAAACATCTTGCAAATAAACTGTACATCAATCTCTCTCTTCTGGTTCACAGCTTCACGATAAGGCAAAGACAGAATGAATTGCCGTCTTAGTTAAACCTAAACTGAACTGCCGGTTTGATCTGATTCATGCACCTTGCAAGACAGTAGAGTTGAATCTAATGCGTGTTGAAACCAAAAGGCATGAATTCATTCACTGTTAGGGCTGCGGCAGTCATTACCAAATACCTTCGACAGGCGATCGAGACGTTTGCCGAAACGGGAGAAAATGTGTCTTTTTAAATCAAAATAAATTGATCTCAAATAATTTTATTGATCTCAAGGGTGAAGCTAAGCTTACGGAAAAACAGTACTTTTGGTTAGATTGAAAAGAAGGCATTTATGTTTTTGTTACCTTTGTGAAGAAGCGATTATGAAGAGAATGAATAGCGAAGAATGTCAAAACCAGTACCAAACAGTACGATTGAAGGAAGAAACCGTTGTTCTTCCGCGGTAGCTGACACAGACTTTTCACCTGCCCTGCGTATTGGGTTACAAAACGAGCTTTTCATGTACCTCCCGTTTTGTTATGTCAAAGTAGAAATGTCTTTTAAAACTGTTCAACAATGGAAAGACCTTTTTGTTATTTCCTCCAACAAATACACGTGTTAAGGACTTCATTTGTCGAGAAGTAAAGCAAGGAAACGGGTCTGACAATCGGACAAAGATTTCAAGGGCTTCAATTACCGATCAGCGGTTACTTTCTTTTGTTGTAGCGAAGCTGCTCTTGAGATTTGGTTGTTTCTAATCCTGTGTCAACACATCTCAAGCATTAGTGATCTCGATTAAGCTCAAAATCGCGCCCATCATTCTTCATTCAATAATTCACTCTGATTTGTGCCCTTTGCAGATCCCAGTCCCGAAGTCTTAAGCCAATTGCCGGTGTATTTTCGCGTTAAACCGACTCTACGAACTCCAAGCGGACGAAGGTGCCGTAAATCTCGGACAGTCTTCACCGATCTTCAACTACGCGTCCTGGAAAAAACGTTCGCGGAGCAAAAATACTTGGACACTTCTAACCGAGCGAAACTCGCCCAAACCTTGGGCTTGAACGAGACTCAGGTTAAAACTTGGTTTCAGAACAGGCGAATGAAATGGAAGAAAGAATCGAGCCAGAATGGCCAAGAATCGTCGACATCGTCTAAAGATGAAGAGACAGGCTCGTCAGAAATAAAGGAGACAAAAACCGAAGAAGCAAGCACAGAGACCCTGAAAGACGCCGGGAGTAGGCACAGTGAATGAAATTTATAGACACTGGAATTTAATTTGGATTTGCCATGGAATGAATTGAAAATGTAACAACACAGTTTCCTGCGAATTAATGGGAAAGTCACGCAAACTATAAGAGAAAAACGGTTTTAATGCCATCTTTAACTTATATTCTTGGCTTTAATCTAAACACGTTGTTATTTTAATGTTTTCTTGAACAATGATATCGTTCAGATCGTTGTAAATAATGATAATAACACATGTAAAATGTTGGTCATGTCCTTTTTTTCCGTTTATAGTTTTAGCGCTTTTCTCGTCATTCGAGTTACACAATTTTAAAGATAATTTTTCTGACTTGCCTCTTACGTTTGAGCTAATATTTTAGTGGAGCCAAATAACTGAAAGACTGTGTAATAATTCGAAGATCCAAAGAAATTAAGAATAATGGAAGTGAGTTTTTCATTAGGTCAAATGTCCTGCGCTCGGGTCTGAATGACTGACGCCCGGGATGCGCTGATGTCGAAAAAAGCCACTAATTGCCATCCACCCAATTTTCAGGAAAACAATTACGGCCATTTGTCAAAAAATGACAAGAATGGAAGGTTAGAAACGATGTTCGCGTAGACGTTTTTTAGGCCTATGAAAAAAAAAAATTCAAGTATAAGAGAAGAAGATCGTTAAGACGCCAAAACGTCAATTTAAAAGACTGAACATGTGCCTTTTCACATTTTATTTGAAGTCAATGCCAAAGCGGTATTGAAATGATGCTTCTCTAAGCACCAATTATGTGAATAAGATCATTAAGTCAGTATTACTCAGTATATCACAGTTTTTTTGCAACGAGATTTTTCCGCCCAGACTTCGTTTGCTTCGAGGGATGAATCATGTAGGGGTGATCGCGTAATATTCACTTGGGAACACATTTCATTAGCCAGTGGAATCGTCAAAGGTAGTACCACAATCTTCGTCAACAAAGAGCAAAAAGACCGGGACATTTTCCCCTTTAAAATGGATTTCCCACCTTCTCCGGCATCTTAGCTGACATAAAGGCGACATCTTGTCTCTTTTCAGTTTTTCATTTTGACAAGGGAAATTTCATTTGAATTTAAATATATTATCCTGTTAATATCCTCGTCAATTACATGTATTAAGTACTTACCTCGCTGGATATGGTTGTCACAAATTTTACATTAAATATGGTCTTTATTTGTACATAGAAATTTTAACTTGACCAAAAAATAAACTTAAGGGCAGGGAAATGGACTGAAGTTTTATTTTACCTAGAAAGTCGTTTGTGCTTCATAATGTAAACCAAGAACATTCAGTGTTCGAGTTTTGTGATAAACTGCCACCTAAAAAGATGTAAAAACTATCTCTCTTGTTCTTTACCATCGTCCAATTACGTTATTACTAATCGATTGATTTTATTTTAATTATACATGTACCTTTTTTCATACAAGCTCTTCATTACATTGTTTTAGTTGCCATTTCCGCCTCTTTTAAATTCCAAAAAGAAAGCGCTCGCAAGCGTTTCGTATTCCTTTCAATATCAAACGTGAAATCCGTTCTTTGATGTTAGAAGAAACTAGGAACTCCTCTTCTCACGAATGCCGTAGTGTTGTTTCTTTTTTTTGGCCAAGAATAGTTAATGAGTCGGTGTAACCGCCTTCAAACTCAATCACAAAACCAAGTCAGGACTTGTACAGTCCTATATGGTGTTTAAAAAAGAGGAATTTTACAGATACGTAAAGCAAAAGGGAAGAGCATAAATAACAGGTTGTGTAGTAAGTTACGTTGTCTTTGATTCTGAGGCGGAAAAGAAAAAGAGGGACAGGGTGGAAGATTTGAGGAGGGACGGGGTGGTGATTTGACCGAGGCACGAGAAAGGAAACAGCCCAAAGGAAAGGGAGTCAGTACTTTTTACCTTCCTTTACGTTCTGCGTCTTTTCGCAAAGACGAATCTTTCCTCACGTCTTTTTTTACACTTTCAAGTGTTGTGTTAGCATACAAACTTACCAGATGCTACATAACAATAGCCCTCAATGGTGAGTAGCGTTTGAAATTTTAGTTCCTGGCATTTAATACTTAAGTAAGGAAACAACCGCCATGAGAAAATGTGTATTTTTGTTGGTGGCACTGCCAAACATTTTTTAAACAAAATCTCGCTGTATTCCACTAAGAATACCTGGTATATTAAAGACTCGTACCCAGTCGTAGCTAGTCGCTATTTATGTATTTTTGAGGTGAGAGAATATTAGGCTAAGTGTCATGGGAAGAGACGAGCAGACGTTATTTTGGTTTTCGCTCCTTCTGATGACTTCCTCGCGCCTCGATGGAAGCCAGTCTTTCCTCTTTTCAATCTTTCCAGACTCAAATAGTGACTGGGTCCAAGCCTAGGTATATATGAAATGTCTTGAGAAATGTACCTCACCATGTCCAACCATTAATGTTCATAAATGACTGCACTTCGTAACGGGATTAATAGGAAATAAGAAGGCGAACGCTTTTGAAAATGGTAAAGGTACGTTAGTGAGTTCATGTACTTTACTTGTTTTTCGGTTGTATTGGACTCAGGTAAAAAAAAAAAATCAATGTAGTAGGCATGCCCGAATCTCGGACACAGATAATTCTCGTCGTCCCCAGAGCCACTCGACTGTTTGTTGTTTTGTAACCAACGAAGGTCACGTGACTAAGAGAAACCGAAGGGCTCTGATCTGGTCAAGATGGAATTTGGCTTCAGTGAGTTATTTTAGGAGAGGTGAATCGTCATGCAGCGCGAAGGAGCCAATAGTAGAAAATTACGGCTGTTACCTTGTTGTTTGATTTTCGTTATTATGACTGGGTAAAGTTAATTCCAGACTTACTCAACGCCCGAGTCGCGGCCGCGAGCAGTTCACGGATTTATCTCAATCCGCCCTTGTTCACAACAATGTCCCAAACTCGAAAAATGATGTCTGCTGTCAAGTCAGCGGTGCTATGCAACTTTTCGTTCTTTTCTCTAACCGATTACTCACTGAAGAGCCAACTTAAAGTGATTTTTTTACAGCACAAAGCGAAAACACCAAACCAGCCGAAATTGGCTGTTTTCAGTTTGAATTCAATACGATCTAAATGATCTGTCGCACCGGAATACGGTCAGGTGAGCACCTGGGAAAGAAAATTTTAAAAATAATTAATATAATAATAAATCCAGTCTTGAAATGGTTGACAGTGGTCTAAGAGTCATGGAGTAGAGGTTAGGGCAACTTATGATATGATAACAGTTTGCGAAACTATGTTACTTTGATATTAAACATTGTGCGACTTAAGCAACGTTATTATAGTTTAAGTTGTATCTAGAAGGAAACCACTATTTTGAAACAATGGTATTAAAAGTCAAGTTTATTATCGGCTTTTGATGTACTTGACCGATGCAGCACCAAGGGTTCATTTTGGCCGTGTTTATAGTCATGTACGGCTTATTCATGACCTATTTTTGCCAAAAATACTAGTTCCGCGTTTTCATTTGTGACGAAAACATACGATAATATTCGCGTGAGTCTTCTCTTGTTGATTTCGTTCCTCTTTTAACTTGAAAGGGCGCATCGAAAGAAGATGTCATGTAGGAAGATACAACCGTGACTTCCTGTTTTCTTAGGGCGTGAATATGAAATTACTGCATAATGCGCGGACATATTCGCGCCTAAAGAGGTTAGATAAACGAGGATGTTGAAAGCATTAGCTGAAAAGTACTTAAGTATATTTTTAGCAGTTGGTTTCGTTTCAAGCTCTCAGTCATCCCCCTTTGGTATCCACGTAGTGTGGTAACATTATAAGTTATGAAACAACACAACTTTGTTGATACTTTTAGGATTAAGGAGCAGTGTATATTAAAGGCACTTTCTTGTCATCCATAACCAGGAAATTACTGTAAGGCCTCAGCTGAGTAATACCGTTAATTCGATGTGTTTAAATTGATCACAGAAATAAAAAGCGTTGCGGTAGGTCAGTAACGTACTGTACACGACCTGCGGTTGATTAGTTATCTGTCGAATGACTACGTCGTGCTTGATGCGCGCTTCAAAATGTCTTTCATGATAGTGCCCGAATTTACTTTGCCTCAGCTCAGTTGAGAAAACTATTTTGTTTTACTTCCACACTCGTGTATGGTCGGGGTTTCTGTTGGATCTCCAGTAGACTATATGGTTCAAAGTTTGCTATGTTTCTTGGCTAAAGACACAACAGCTCCATCAAGGCCATACCTTGGTATACATATAATGGGTAAGCAACTTTTATGCAGATGGTACCGTAGTCTACAAGAAATTCTTTCTCGGGTAATCTTGTGTTTAGAACCATTCTAAAAGATTTCGGGGTACTGAATTTGATTTAACACAAGGAGGTTGTAAGAAAGGTTCTTCAATTCTGTATCTTTTTGGTCATTTACACTTGACATAAAGTTTCCAAAACTGACCGAGTTTCTGTTTAGGAAACATCAGTTACCATAAAACTGAATGAATGGTAAGAATGCTGATTTTTCTTTCAAATGATACGTGTCCCACTAAGGAAGGGACTGATCTAGAAACCGTTAGGTGTCGCAAAGGTTTTTCACATGTCAAGTGTAATACCTAAGGGAATGAAAGGGTCTGTTTAGTTCATCAGAAGGGAATGCGCACCAGCACCGCTCCATCTAAAGATTTATTGTAACTGATATAAACATAACTTAGAGTAGCACTAGATTAAGTAAAAACAATCTTCTTTTTGACTGATCTTCAAGATATTGTGTGTGCCTTGCTTACTGAAGCCAAAGGGTTCTCAAATCATTAACCAATGAGCTCTCACAATTACAAACCTGCGGTTTAAACTGAGAAGGTAGACAGATTGAGGATAGAGTCACCTTGACCTACGTCAATGATTTTACTTAAAATATAAATTTGGTTGAAAAGCAATGTCAAAAAAAAAATAGTTAGGCTGCGGTAAGCAGAACTTTGCTGGTTACTGCGGCGGTTAAGGGGCCATCTTCAAAAGGGTTCGCAGCTTCTTTTATACCAGAAACAACGAACCTAGTTCGGTACCATCGACATTCAGCGCATGTGTGTCACCACGCCGCACTGTTGACCGCAATTTCTTTTACTCATTACTTCAACTGGTGTCGACATTGTTTTTTTTTACATTCCATTAATTACTTTACAACTTTACACATGTCAAGGCGTAGGAGGTGCCACATTGCAGTTTACACGGGAGGTTTTCGACACAAAAGATCCCTTTAATCCCACAAAAACGTTCGCAAGCTCTCTGCAACAAAAGGGGAATTAATGTGTCGTTGTTGACTGTTATTAGAGTAACGAGATCTGTTGTTTTCTTTGAGCTCAGAGTTGGTCTGTTGAGGTAAATATTTAAAAATGAACATGAAATATCGAGCATCAAGTGGCGTTTAAAAAATAAAAAGAATTCGCTAGACTCAAAGTTGCTGAGCGCGCGTGATCTGAAGATGTCAGATGTTTTAGGATCATTATACAATAACATCGATATCTTCCGTGTAAACATCCTTTGTGAAATATATTTGGATTATGCGCTGTTTTTACCTTCCGTTTTCTTATCTGATGTGCGGTCAGTGACAAAAAACGTGAGAGAAACAAAATTGTGTGCCGTAGGCCAAGGCCAATGGGAAAAGGTTATTGATATGCGAAGAAGAACTTGGTTACTACAGGCCAAATGTTTGAATTGCGCTCCAACGATTCAGTGAAGAATAAATCCGCTCAGCGATATCAATCGGAGTTGATATAATTTGTTGAAGTCTTGCTAGTAGCGTTTTTATAACTGGTTTTCGTTTGTCTCAAGTACTCAAAGTACATTTAAATGTAAAATGTTTCAACTTTATTAGGCATTGTTTCCCAGATAAGTAACTTTGACTGGTTAATAGTTTTGTTCTCAAAGTAAAATGAGTTGAGAAAACGCGCGACTGTTGATCAGTTAAAACCTCGCGATCATTAAAAATTAAAAGGTAAAACGCCTTCTTATCTTAATGCTTACCAATCAGTCAAACCGGAAAATACGTGGAGCATAGATTGTCGTACTTTAAGGTGACATTTGAAAACATTTCCCAATAAAAGCTAGAAGTAATTCTTTAACGTGAACAAAAGAAATACTCGATTACCTCAGTGATACGGCATAAATCTGACAATTCACTGGTTTCAAGGGGAAATCTCATAAAGATGGTATCTTGTTATGTAACGAGCTGGATTACGGATATGTAGTTAGTGGTGTCATTTCCAAGAAAGTTGACGACTTACTTTTTTTTACCATCAAAGTACAACCTCAACAGGATTTTCTAATTAGGGAAGAAAAACCTATAAACAAACACTTTTAACGAAAAGGCCTAACTCAGTTATGGACTTTAAACAAGAGTACTAAAGGTACCAAACTCGAAGTTGTTGCCACGTGTATTAATAAACTAAACACTATAAAGTTATCAGCAAATTTGACAAAAGCTCGGGCTGGCACCTCAGATAAAGAACCTTTTAGTGATCAATTCCTTCTCAGCTGCAAAATCTCATGAATATTTAAACTTGTCGCCGATGATTTATTTGAAATTGCACGCGCTCTACCTACACAAAACATCTGCGCAAAGTAAACCAAAACGGCAAAATTAATTCGCCCTAAAAATGTTTTCACTCAAAGTGTTACTGAACCACGCCTCAGTGCAAAGGGGTTCCTCGCACCTTCACCTTGCTGGCTAATTTTAGTTTCCTAGAGCTGTAAAAAGAAAGTTGACTCATCTGAATGAAGTTTCAAACCCGGCTTTCATAATTGTTGAAAGGACTTGAAAAAGTTGATTGTTGTTTACTCAATCTGAAGAATGTATTTAGTTCTCTGGGAAGTTTCGGTTTCAAGCGTTTATTGCATCGAGGCTGCTTACATCTTGAGAGAAATGGTTTCTTACGTTTTTCAGTATTGTTGTATATACTAATTGAATTCTACCTTCGATTATCTTATGATAATGGGTTCTAATTGACACTCTTTCCGAGTTTATTATAAACACTAATTGAATAATGACCACAATTAATTTAGGTGGTAATGTAAAGTAAGATAATAAAAACCTTTATCGCCTGACCTTAACCCCTGCGGCACTTTGAGAGTGTCAAAGAAAAGAAAACTCTGGATTCGTTTCATAATTACTTATGGCAGCAGTCAGGGTAGCCCGTAGATGCCTTTAATAAATGTCAAAACAGACTTTTATTTGAACGAGATACTTTTCAACCTGTCAATCAACACAAAGGTGTTTTTTATGGCATTTCCTAAGACCCTTAACAATAAAAATATTCATTGCGAATGTTGGCTGTTACATTCAATTTTGTCAGCTCTCCGCTCCGTTCCGCATCGCGTCAGTCAGAGGCCCAAGATGTTTAGGTATCAAGACCCGGCCTTGCTGTTTTATCAGAATCCCCAGTGTGTGCAAAACAATTTATTGCTTCCTCCTCCGCCGCATTACAGCTCTCATTTTCTCGAGGAGAGCAGAATATGTAACCCTTCACAGCCTTGTTTTATGACCAAACAAACTGGCGCGTTCAGCCCGCCAGAATCATACGGCTCCAGTGTACCTTCACAACTCCCATTCAATTACGGGACCGACCCGCGAACTTTTCTGCCCACCTCATCGGGCAAGATCAGCAATCCTGGTAAGTTACACTGCACGCGCGCCTGCAACTTTCATCACTGTAATTCTCTATGTACATTTCCCTGAAAGACAATTTAGCACTCTTTATGTTCAAGTGCTAACTCCGTAACGACTTGAGAGTCGTTTGCGATCAGCCTTCAGTTTATTTGCGGTTTATCGAGAGCTCGTTAAAGTTCGATCTTGTCACGGGAGATGGAGGTCTCGCTCAGTAAAACTAGGAATTAATTGTCTTTTAAAGTGCGGTGATTACCTCCAGCCGTCTTGTAAACTTCTTAATTCCATTCTTTATGCATGCGAACCCTGTCAACGCTAGAATTAGTTCCCAACAAGAAGTCAAGCTTTGGTTGTAAATGGACAATACATTTCAAAGTGCTCAGTACGAGGGGAAAAGTTGGCCTGAAAACTGACGGAATAATATATAAATACCATAATCCTGAAAAGTTCTTAATCCTCGAAGTCTGAGAAAACTGACTAATGACAAGACTTAAAATAATATTCAGGTAAAATGGAGAAGAATTGATACCTTTAATTCCATTTGTAATCATTTGCGTTAATCCTTGTGATATGTGAAACTGTGCTTTGCTTAAGAAATATTTGCCAGAGGACCGTCTGAATTAAGCCATCACGAGATGAATTGAATTCAATTAAAGTTTCATTTAGTTTTAAAGGATAGTTCAGAAGACTTTCTTCTTCATTGTAATGTTTTTTATCAACAAAAATATATTTTTAACTAACTTATAATTCACCAAAGAAAATGCAAGATTAAGAGGAGGATCTTAATTAGAGGATAATTTTTTGTTACCTCTTCGGTTTCAAAATATCTTAATCCTTCCCTTTTTCAGAACCTTCGTCAACCTCAGACATAACTATCCATCATCCTCTTCCAGTTTACTTCCGTGTTAAGCCAACTTTACGAACTCCGAGCGGTAAACGATGCCGAAAATCGCGTACAGTGTTCACGGATTTACAGCTTCGAGTCTTGGAGAAAACCTTTTCGGAACAGAGATATCTAGATTCAACAAATCGAGCGAAACTGTCTCACATTCTGGGTTTGAACGAGGCGCAAGTTAAAACCTGGTTTCAGAACAGGCGGATGAAATGGAAAAAGAAAGTCAACGCCAAAGCTGAAAAACCGGACAGTTCGAGCACGGGAAGGAAGGCAGAGAAGGCGGACCGGCCAGAGGAGAAAAACAAAAAAGAAACAACGACAAAGGATACAAAGGAACAGGAAAAGAACGCGAATCAGTTGGACAATTCGAATGAATAGATTCCACTGAAACTGACTTATTTTCACTTACTTCATCCTGATAGTGAAAGAGTATTGGAGCCTATTCAACCGAAAAAGATACTAGTGTAACTTAAGAAATTACGATGATAAAACAGCGGAAGTTAATTGAGAAGTTGGAAATTGGGAAAAATGAAGTTACATTTTGGTAATGATAAGCAATATCGGTCGGACTTATCACAGATCTTCCATTTAAAAGAAGAAAGAAAAACGCTTTTCTTTATCTACGTTAGCGGGCCTTGCCTTTCATCTTGAAAATGCAAATAATTGTAATACTCATCAAGATCTTGGCCTTAAAGTATCTTATCATACGAAAATGTTTCAAAGTAACTGTAAAATTCCTAACTCAAGTTGAAATCTGTAAATCGTTTAGATTCAGTTTCTACTAAAAAGTCGGTCCAAAGTCAAATCCCCTAGATTTCTACCAAAAAGTCGGTCGCACGTACTGCCGAAGAACTTTATGTAGTTTTAGCGAGTTAATTTGTAAATATCGCCCTAGCATTTCCTGATTTAATAAAGAGTACAAATCAAAAAGTGATTTTCGGCTGTGAATAGTTGGCGTATGTCTGTTGAATATACACAGAAGGAAAAAGGACGATAATGTTTCAGAACTGGTGGTAGAACCGAACAGAAGTTTCTCAGCACCGCCGTTTCACTTTTCTACCTCAAGGATCAGTGGGAATTTGATGAAAACAGCGCAGTTACTCCTTTTCACTGCAGCTGGAACAAAAATTTACATGAAGAACAGAGAAAAGTTTCGTAACGTAATGGGCTTTTTGTTTACCCGAGAAGTACATAAAGAGGTTGCCCGCCGCCATTCTTCAGAAGTTAATAAAGCAATTGGAGCATGTGGGGTGGAACTACAATATTCCCACGAAAAACCCCACAACCGTCACCGAAATTAAAATTATTTTGTTCTTGCTGTACAGCTTGTGGAACAATATTGTTCTTTCCTTAAAGGAAAGATCATCCTTACGTTTCCAGCTGTATGGAATTATTTTGGAGGATACATAACTAAATTCATGATCGCAGTGTCTTGAAAAAGCGAGCGTGCCTTGTAATATGAAGTAATGTGAATATGCGTGTGTTATAGGGTGAATCTCGTGTTCCCTGGGTAATATACACGGCTAGGATTATGGCATTTATTAACCTTTTGTGCGTTTCTGACAACAAAAATCCCATGTTGACTTAAAGCATAAATTGAAGAAAACTGCTCTTTCCAACGTGCAAGGTCGGTTTGTCATTGTGCCAGAAATAGAGTCTCACAGATCACGAGACTTTAAATATAACAATGAACAGTCAGTTATAAAATTGAGGTCAGATGGTAAAAACAGCTGTAGAATTTTCACAGAAACGTTTTTTTGGTTCGATATTAGTTTTCTGGGATTTTTCACTTTCGAAGAGCTTTATTTAGCCGATTTTATTCGGTAAAAACAACGGGCGTCAACTGTAAATCGGGGTAATGGCTTCACCGCGGTACACACACGAAGTTTTCGATATAAAAAGGTCAAGAGGGGCCATGCTAAATAGATACAAAAAATCGTATTTTGTAAGTAAGCTGGCCTGTTCAATTTTTACAGATGTGTGTTGCATCAGCTGCTGCCACAAGCCGCAGGCTTATCATTTCTTGACAACTTTACGATCACACTTAGCTGAATTTAAAGTGTCATTTGTATTTTTTAGGTGGTCTTTTTTAGCTGGTGACGCATAAATTTCTCTCACTGTTCCTTTTTAAAAAGCGATCTTTTCCTTTAAAATATCGGCAAGGTATGCTTGGTTGCTTTAACGTTTAGTATTCCTCTGCGTTGCGGGAAAAAAACGCCTAAGACTACTGTTGATCAAAATTCAAGAAAAAATGGTACCACTGAAATTTCGTCTGGTAAAATGTTGAAGAACTGAACGAAAAGTATCATGTGAAATCATTGTTAGTGAGGTTTCATTTGAATGGCCATTTCATCGCCTCAATTTCGCCCAAAGATTCAGAAAAATTGACTTTGTTAACGAGCGGGTTAAGGTTTCTCAGCAAAAGGGCACCCACTTTAGTCTTTAGATTTACTAGCTAGTGATATAAGTTTTTCTATTAGTCCAAACTCTTCCTTTAAACAGCAAATGGATTCAAATAGAATCATACTTCGAACTGGTTGTTTAATCAGTTGAAAATCATAATTGAAAAGGAAATATGACGTTACAAAATGACAATTCAATATTGCGGCCGCTTTTAAAAATACATGACTCAGTGATATTAAACTCCAGTTTGGGAGGCAGTGTTAGGAGTAGACGAGGGCTTCAGTTGTTTTTAGCTCTGAATTTCTTGAAATTATCGGTTAACGTGTCTTCCGTCAATTGCCGAGCCTAAGATACCTTAGTCGGGAGATCGCTCAGCTGAAGTCAGTCAGTTGAATTCTGATGGTCCTTCAGGGTTGAAATCGGCTTCTCTGATTTCCCGCAGGTCTCGGCGATGCAATAGTGGATCAAGTGGTTTATTGGAAACTGCCCACCTACCCCTCCCCTGGGCAAAATGATGGGTTAGGGGAGGGTAGGCGGGCAGTTTCCCAGAAACTTAAATTGATGCGCAATGTTTCGATCGCTCGGTATCTTAGCAAGTTGTACGATGGTCAGGAATGGGGGTTTTGCTCCCACTGGTTTATGGAAAAACGTAGAGGGCGCTTTCCATTTAGTCAAAATTTCCGGAATTTCCGGTTCGGCGGTAAATGGAATACGTTTCGTCGGTTCGTCCCACTGGAAAATTCCCAGAAAAAGTGGAAAATCTAAAAAGGTGGGCCCGTTTTCCCGGTCGGAATTTCCGAACGGAATTTCGTGTTCCATTTACACGTTCCTCGTAGTTTGTACCAGTTCCAGGTCCACGGCAAGAAAATCTGTCGAGCACCGCGACGTACCGGGGTTTACGACCAAATGGAACAACTTTTTACCAATCGGAAATTCCACTTTTGCTCGCACCAAAATTTCCGTTTTTCTTTCCTAAATGGAAAGCGCCCAGAATATCCCAATAAAACGAAACTTTATAGATACATTTCACTTTCAATGGTGATGGCATGTCACGCTGACGTCATCTGACGTCATTGAAATGACGCCTTTAAGATTAGCGCCATAAACTGTGTAAAAAAATCCAACAATCTGGGCCCAGTTGCTCGAAGCATGGTTAGCGTTAACCAGCGTTTAATATCTTGACTACGTATTGGTTTTGATACTGCTTAACCAATGGTTAAAGCGAACCATGCTTTGAGCAACTCAGCCCTGGGATATAAGTGAAGCTTTCATGAGCAATCCACGTAGATCTAAAGAAACAGCATAAATCCCTGATTAAAGAAAAAAAATTGCTGACTAAAGAAATTCTTTAATTTCCCCGCGAGATTGACCACTCCAGAAATACCATAACATACCATAATGCTCCTTGTTTGTCACTCCAAAATTTGGCATAAGCATTGTCTTCAGTTTCTCTTGGGAGTTAAAGTAACCCCAAGAAGAAATTGAAAACAACGCTTATGCAAAAATTGGGGTGACAAATAAAGAGCATTATGGTATGTTATGGTATTTTCTGGAGTGGTCAATACAGACTTGGAGTTGGGGGGAGGGGCAATTCCCACCCGCTTTTTTTTTTGCCAGGCTTTTAATTTTTTTGGCTTTATTTTAGAATTCTCAAAGTTTGTAGTGGCTATGCAGCGAAGTTACACGATTGCCCTTTCCCTTTCGTTTTCGGAGTTTCTTAGATCCGAAGCTGCTTTTCCTTCTAGAGTATAAAGTGGAGCACCTTTCAGTGACTGAATTATTAACGCAAACTGGAACTATTTGTTTCGTTAACAAATTACTTTTATTTCCAAACTACGCTAGGTTCGTTTATTACACTGTCTGACATTGAAACTAAAGTCAACTTTATTTATAATGAAGATAATTAAGACTGTACTTCTTAGTTCTTTCTTCCTTCAGTTATGTTTCTTATTTATCGCCTGTATGAGTTGGAACTAGACAACACACAGTCGCCATCTTGGTCAGGATAGCACTCGACTTCGATGCCTTCGCATGTGTTAGAGGGATTAGTACAGGCTGCTCTAACCGTAGTATCTGTGCAGGAATGATCAATATAATCGCAGACGTCTCTTTTGGACTTCATAAAAGGAGTCTAGAGAAACATGAAACAAAAAAGAAAAATATTTACGTAAAATTACAGACTCACAGATTGTTCCGTTCTTTTTCCAAACACCCACCCATAGGAAGTAGGTTAAGAAAAAAAAAATGAAGGGAAGCCGAGTTTTTGAAACCGCCCCAGGAACTACTTCCCGCGAGTTGTCAGGATACTGGAGCGATTGGTATGGCTTCCCAAATAACTGATAATTCATAAAACAAATCAAAGCTATGGTCGTTATAATTTTATGATAATATATATGGCATTTCTAAACCTCTTTCCTAGTAGCTATGTCCTTTTTTTTACTCCTGGTGACTTGATAAATGTCGGCTGTTTTCTCAGCCTCACATGAAAGGAGAGTCCGAGCTTTGCGAAGTGATATGGTTCAAATTTTGGGCTTTTTCCATTAAAACTTTCTAAAATTTGGAAATTGCGGTAAATGGTATACAGAAATTTCCCGGAAGAGTTTCCGGAAATTCGAATTTCCGAAATGCGAACCATTCAACCGAAAATTCTAGAAATTCCGGGAGCAAAGTTGAAGGAAGGAAAACTTCTGGGAAAAAGTTACCGGAAATTTGGGTGTAACTCGCGAGGTTGTCCTCTTTTTGAAAATTTTGGAAAATGCTGTTCCATTCGCTACTGGAAGTTGCCGAAAATTCAAACCGGACGACAGCGCCCTTTATCTCGGACTGAAACTTATCCTTCCCCAACTGCCGACATTGTTGGCCCCAGCAATGGCATTGATCTTTCTGTTTGGAGGGGCCAAGGAACCTATTATATGGGCTTCTGGTTCTACTGAAAGGGTGTAGAAGAAATTTTTCTGGACCCGTGACGTGCCTTTAATTCCTATGAGATCATGTTTTTTTTAGCCGCGCACATCAGACCATGTTATCTTACCTCCTCAGGTATTCTGCTGTCCTCGTTTTTAGATTCATGGAGAAGCTGTCGGAAGGGCAGAGCTTTATTGGAACTTCGCCTGGCTGAACAGACTGCAGACGTCAGGGCTATCATTAAAACGATGCAAACAAATGTCTTGGGATTCATTATTTTCCTTGCAAAGAAAAGGAACAAAAAAATACTGTGTAAGAGCAATTTTCTTATAAATACAGTAGAATCGCGGTAACTCGAACTCTGAAGGAAAACGAAAAACAGTTCGAGTTAGTGGGGAATTCGAGTTATCGGGGTTTATTTCAGTGAAAGGGAAAGGAAATCTAGTTTGAGTTAACGGGGAATTCGGGTTATCCAAGTTCGAGTTATCGATGTTCTACTGTACATGCACCTTAACCCATCCTCTTTGAGCCATGCGACACATTAGGCCACACTTAATAGTACACCATTCATTATCTTGCTATGAGCACTTAGTGGCCCATTATCCTATCTTGTGTGGCCATTTCTGGGGAAAAGTCTTCAAGCAGTAACTTGACATAACCGTGCTATATATGTGAAAAAATTTGGACAATAGTCCCCAAGAGATTGGTTGCCTTTCGTCGTCATGATATGCCATTTCTGTCACCCAAAACAGAAAAACGCTTTTTTTTCTGAGAAACGTACAGTTTGGCTCTTAATATTTAGTACCAGTCATGCTCCTAATTTAAATGCGAAAAATTTTAGGCATGGATTTTTCGTTGAAATAAAACGTTCAGAATTGAGAATGGAAAGTGTCTTTATATGTAGTGCATGCAAGGTACCTTTTAAGGAAAATTTGCTGCTATTAAAACGGCTAAAAACAGAACCTACTCTCTGTTGGCTTCCTTCAGCTTTTTCCTTGGCCTTAAAAGTTTTTTTGGTTCTTTCCGACTGTGAGTCCAATGAAGGTTCTACCAGCGGAGTTCCTTATTTAAACGTTTGCTAATCGGAGAAAGCGAATGTCGTTAAAAGTACTCGTTATAAAACCTATAATTACGGAAAACGCTTTCCTCAGATTTGCGATTGCAAACCCACGGGTGGAATCATTAGAACGAGACCGATAGCAAATGTGATAGAAGTTGTCTCCCAAGAGAGGATAAAGTTTTATCCTCTCTAGACTGAACCGATTCAATACCGTATGACTCGAAGCGCCGAATGAAGGGGAGAACTCGGAAAATTCTTCTTGGGATCAAATGTTCGTACTCTGGGTCGTCATTTCAGGTTCAAATGTGAGGTAGCACCGTTGATAAAAGAAAAAAACGGCCCGAGCGAAGTATTGCTTTTTAGTTAGGCCGGTGATAGGGATATTTCCTTCCAACTGTAATGGCGTCCTGTCCTTAATCATCCGGTAGTCCAGACGCGTGATAAATTGTCCTTTCGGCGTGGAGATCATTCAGCCAACTGGGTGAATACAGATTGTTATTGGCCGACGTCCTTGATTGCGCCTTAAGTGACTATAAATATGACTGGAACGATTTGGTTATCACCTCAGGCTTTTTTTAAATAGAAAGATCAACCTATTGTATAATTCAGTATAGGTTAATCCCTCAGTGTGAAAGCATCAAAGTAGCGAAAGGACTGACATGCGGTTGTGTAAGACGAAAGCTGCTCTCTCTCGCATGTTCAGGCGTGAACATCAGGAAAACTTTCAGTTCACTATACTAATGCTTTTGAAACCTTGTGCAGTCGTGTCCAGTTGAGTCTTCTCGTGCGGGTTGCCGGTCCATAATACGGACTTAATTCTTTATAAGGGCGGTTCTCTTGTTCTTGAAGGTACAGTCAAAACCCGTTAATACGGATCCTGAAAGGGCCACAGAAAGTGTCCGTATTAACGGGGTGCCCGTATTAACCGGGTCATGTTATTGAAGTCAAAAAGACACCTTTCATTGGAGTAAAATACTAAAGAAATTAATGAGGACATAAGCAGCGTCAAATTGTACATCTCTAACCTTCACAAAGCCGTCATACCCCGAACTTAATACACGGAAACACTAGAAATCGCTCATCTATTTATTCAGTACGTGCATGCATTAAACATAACCGTCCTCTGCATAACTCGATTGATGCCAAAATAGTCTGAAATTGACGTCTACTGAGATTACAGCAAACAGTTGATAGGTGTCTGCATTAGGGAGGTTGACTTTCTATGAGATCAGTTCTGTTGACTGGACAAGAAACAGGTGTCCGTTGTCCGCATTCACGGGTGTCCGGGTTAAATTTAGAGAAAATGTAAGGGCTCGCTCCAGGGACAAAGACAACTGTCCGTAATAAGGAGGTGTCCGTGTCTGTAAAGCGGGGTCCGACTGTGCATCCGATGTTATAGCACTAAAAACCCGCATACCTCCCAGAATCATCCTAATCCCAGCTATTGAATGAATCGGAAGCAGCATTTTCAAGTTTTCTCGATCGCTTTTGCTTTTCTGTGTGATACCTGTTGCGAAACAGGATTTTTACTTTTTGCTGTTTTTTACAAGACTTACCTTTCGCCCTGTACTTTTAAGCACTAGGCCCTTTGACCTTCAGTTCAGAGAAAGTAGAGTTGAACTGAGTTGTGGGCAATATATTTTGACCAAAACGAACTTAAACAAGTAGAAGGTATGATACTCAATACAACTTTAATGTTACGTTGTCAAAATAATATCTTAACTTAATTCGTGTCAACAATTGACATAGTGATTTTACTTGCCTCGAGTCCTGTAACAATAAATTTCACAATATCACCATGATTCCGATAATTACTTAGTAAAGCAATAGATATTGTTTTACCAAGCAGCTTTGCTTGATTCAAAAGCACTGGGTTTCTTTAATGTCGAGGACTTTGACAAGTTACATATGCAACTATTACTCGATTTAATTACTTCCTATTTTCCGACATTTGGTTATTTTGGCTGGGGTTATCTGCTAAATTCAAAAAGCCATTATCACAATATTTACCCCTCTGGCAAAGTAATATAGTGAAAAATCGTTGACAAATTGATCAACCACCGTCTCGCCAGGTGATGGAAGTGTTAACGATATTTTTTATGAAACTCCCATTGATAACCCGAATCCAGTTACCGCTTTTTTCGCGTGTCTCCTTCCTTTCTGTACTGTAGTAAGGCTTGAGCTTTCTTAAATTTCAGATTATGAATCACTTTTTTTCATTTTGTCACTGAAATTTTTTTCAAATCCACATGCGAGTTTCGGTGAGCATCATCAGAAGAATCATTTCCTCTTCACACGTTTCCATCGGTACTTTTCGTTTCTTATAACACATATGTTTATTTAGTGGAGCACAAAATTATTACACGACATCGAGATAATTAACGAATCAAACCAATGCAGGTGGGTTGTGACAAAATATCTGTAGATATTTATTTCATAAAAATTAAAGTGTTAGCTGACGCCCTTAGTAATTGCTTATGATCGAACCAAATTCTGCATGAATTGAAGCCGATATCATTACAAGTGCAGGTGATTTTGAAGTTTCAGTATTAAAGATTGATTTCGCATGTGATGCAAATATTTTAAAAGAAACCATGGGTAATAAAGCACTTTTTTGTTGTCCTTATTTTGCAATGTTCTGTTTCACCTTACAAGAATTTAAATGCTCTTCAGAAGCTTGTTACTGCAGTGCTATAGGCCAGCGTACCTTTTAATCAGTGGGTTGCCTTCAACAACCAAACTTACGAAGTCAAGGTTAATGCCGAGTTATCCTTTGAGTTGAGTTTGAGTTTGAGTTTATTATTTCCCATAATATTATACAGTACATACGGTGTGTTTTGAGCCGTCTCATTCAGAGGGCCAAAGTTCATTAAGAGGCCATTGAAATACAAGGAACTAAAATCAAGAGGCCACTCTACATGTCTTAATAATCACCTCTTGGTTGAAGGAGATTCTCAGTTTCAAAGCCGTGACAACTTTCAAGGTTATATGGTGCAAATGAGGAGAGGAGAAAAATAATTGACCTTTCAGGCTGGGCTGTCAAATGACTCCGCCCATTCACTGAATAGTTGTCAAAACCATAATTATCACTGCGTTGGATTGAGTGGAATGGTTATGAAACCCGTCAGACTCCTTTGTTATATGTTTTTGTGGACCTGAAAGTGCACAACGTTCAAAAGAATTCCTATCATTTTGATTGTATTGACCAATAAAAACGTTGCATTAATTTATTCCAAACAAATTTGCCAACAGAAAACAAATGATTGTGCACTTCAGGGTGCTTCCAACATAAACTGCTGCACTGTTGTTTTTATCATTGATGTTTGCCGCTTTTCATAACCAGTCTCCTCTACGTAATAACTGTGGCTTTCTGAACCATTTGAATAAAATCTAAAATTGAGCTAGTTCATTGAATAACCTTAATTTTTAATTGTGTTCTAATAAATGATAAAAAGGTTTAACAAAAAGGTGAAGGAAATCTGAAATCATTATATGAAATCCAGCTAAAATATTAAGTACCATCAACTTTAATTGGTGAGTAGACTTTCACAAAGTGTTTAATAATGACAAGAAGTCTCCCATGTCTCGACATGTCAAAATACTCCTTGATCCTCGACAAAACTGTGGGATGCATTGTTTGTCATTTTTGCATTCCTTTGGCAGATTATCTCGAACTTTGGTCCGCGAGCACATTATTTTTTCGCACACGGTTATTTGTTTCACGACCCAAAGATGGTGATTTATTACCTCTTTTCACATGAAAACTTAACAGAATACAATACTAGCAAAGATGCTAGAGCCCTTCAAAAGTTGATCGTAAACTTCACTTTATCTGTTGTGAAAAAGTAATGAAAAATAAAAATGTAAACCTTTTTTTTCCTTTATTAATGCAGCTTTAAGTTCCGGCTTTGAATTTTTTAAATGCTTCGGGAGAGAGATGGAATATTCGGTTGGATTGTCTGTTGACGAGAACCACTTAGGAAGAAAAAATATTTTTCTGTAAACCCTAAGGAAGTAACATCAACGTCAGGGTACCTACTCGGCCAAAAAATTTCTTTTGTTTTATGAAAATATGCACCGGGTATTCAAGATCATTTTTTTTTTGGCGGCGGGGAGGGCGGAGGCAAAAATTAAATTTCGCGGTTTATACAACATGAGCTTTATCACGTTAAGTTCGCCGCAAAAGCTTATTTTTTTGTGATCCGTTTTCTGCATTTGCCCGAAATATCCAACTCGAAATATATCGGACCTAAGAATATGATGAAGTTACAATACGCCTAGAGATCCGTAAAACCGATTTTATGAATTTCCATTTCCCCTATTACATTCTAAACATTTCAGGCACGCCTTATTTTTGTCAGTTGAAAAGAATTTTTTTTCTCCAGAGCTGAACGTGTCAACGTTTCGCTGCTTACTCTTCATCTAATAGCTTTTAACAAGAGCTTCTACGTTCTTTTGAATTGCTTTTAATTGAAAACCTTGTTACGCCTATACTACTCTGCCAGTTGATTTTATGTGCCTATTCAAAATTACTGTTAGATTAATATTTTTCCGCTATGCATGGTACATTTTCAAACCTTTGCTAAATAATCTTTGAAATTGTACAAATGTATTTTTGCTATCTATACAGGATAACAAAAAAAAACCAAATAAAATATAAGGGGAAGCCCAAGTTTCAACTCACCTCGTATTGCGACCAGAGTTATTTGATTTGGACTGAATCCACGCGAACAAGCAACACTCTTTCCAGCAAACTAATCCCTAGGTCTCCTTTATTCTCACGGACGTGATGATTTAAATGAGGTCCGGGACGGAAAGCACTGTGGGTCGTAATAGTCCATTTTCGAGTTCGCTATGACCGCTGAATTAAAGAAGTGAAGACGCATTTTTTACAGCCTTAGCCTCCATCTGAAGTAATATATTCACAAATTCCAACGAGAAAAAGACCTGTCTATTGTGTATATTCAAATTTCAAACACTTACTTGCCAGAATTTCTGAATATTTTACTTTACGTCGAGGCTAACCCTGTATGAATGTGTCGTTAATGTTTGTATTCAGCGGTAATTTTAAATTCGAAACTGGACTATTGTCGCGTCAACTAGCTAATTAATAGTTTTAATCAGGGTTTACCCCGGAGGTACATTCATATGTGGCATATGGTATGGTTTTTGGGATGTATAGTATCCTTACTGGATTTTTTGATCCTTAATTGGGTTAAATGTCACGATAGTCCCCCCTCCCTCCCCTCTGGGTGATGGGGGCTTAGAAGTTGGTTAAAGTGTGTAATTTATTTCTGGGTTTGCCAAACAGAAGCCGACACGAGAGGCCTCATGGCATGTGGTTATAGGGAGCAATTTTAAATTAGCCATAAAGGAATGTGACGGTTTAGGAGGATATTCTAAAGAATTCTGCTTTATCTACTTTACATCAAGTGTATATAACTTAAGTTGTCTTTTTCTGCAAATATGGAGAAGTTTTCGATAAACTAAATGGCAATTTTTGTTAAGTTTTACCATCTGATTTCCTGTTCCCTATTTTCGTTTGAAGAATTTGAATTACCATTAATATTAGTCACGTGACGTAAATGCCCTACATTAAGAAAGGCGACCGGAACAATTGCTCATTGTTTTAACAACGACGAACTTCTTTTTCAAGTTATAAACATTGCCAAATAAGCCCGCAAGCGAACAATGTCCTATTGGTAAATTGAAAAGTGAAAATTTCCGCTAATGTCCGACCGAGGATGTGCGTATTAAAAAGGGAAATGTATTTTTTCCTTGTAATCGTAAACAAGGTAGAAATCAGTTTGAAACATGATGGAACTGCGCCGACGAACGGAATTCAGTGTAATCCGTAATAATGAGAGTTGATTGTTACCGGTTGATAACTTTTTCTTTATAATTTTGACTTTTCGCCGAGTTTTATCCATCAGTAAAGGCCTGGTGTCAGTAATGAATAGCAGATCTCTGAGAGATTTGACTGTCGGCTGAACATCTACTGCTAGTAAACATTTTTAGCTGGATAACCCACCCGGCAGAAAATCAATAAAAGGGTAAAAATAAGTTAAAAAGTGATTGCCGAAACCTGGGATTATTCAGAGCTCATGCGAACTCTCCGGATTTGAACCAGGGACCTTCAGATCTTCAGTCTGACGCTCTCCCAACTGAGCTATCTCGGCAACTTAAAGCTCAAATATGCTAAACCATGGCTAGTTTTAAAGGCAAACATAGGGTCCGCCATTTTTGGGTCGGACATGACAATAGATCGTACTCACATATACTCATACCGATTTTTAAAGTGTCTATCGCTTACGTCGTGATGAACCGCAAATAGGAATCAATGACTGGAAATGAAAATATCATTAAATAAATTCTCTCCCGACAGTCACCACACTGATTAATCTTAATGAAAGATGGGTAGAAAAGTCTGTATTCTTGTTAATGAACAAATGGTCGTCTCCTCAATAAGTCCCTTGCTACTGAAAAGAATTACAAATCAGCACAAGTTCCCTAGCACCACGAGCGAGAATCATGACTGGAAAAAGCTACTAGAAATGTTATAAGGGCTCTGAGGATTTGTGTGGGGGTTTTGATGATCGTTCAATAGGGGGTCAAAAATAACTATAAAAATACATTAGAACTTCTTACCTTTCTTCCTGTCTTAGTTATGGTGTGTCGCGGCAGCATATCTGCCCGTTTCAGCGCGATTCCAGCGAGTTTTATTAGCTCTGCTGTTGGAACAACCGCCGAAAATAAAATTTGCTGTTACCGCGCTGTTACTCCTAGATGACGACCACTAAAATGTCCACACAAACCCTTATTTCATTTCTGGTGTTTACGCAACAACAATTTCTCTCATGTCAGCAACTTAGAGTATAGGTATTATTTTTACGTACCTGTAATTTCAATTAGTCAACGTATAACATGAAATGACCACAAACTGACTATAAGCTTAAAACATCCGTGTTGTTGTTGATTGCGTCACAGTTTTCCCACTTCAGGTCCTTTCAATGCTGTTTCAGCCAGTCAGACGATTTTAAGAACAAAAAACGCGAAGCAAGATCTTATACGTACGAAGTCAATGATGTGTCAATAACTCACGTAGTTTGGTTATCAGTCATTTGTTTTTTATTATTGGACACTGTATTTTATTATTAGGCACTGATTTTTATTTTTAGGCACTGTGCTAATTAATAGTTATATTGGATGAAGTCGAGCATGATAGCCAAAATTATCAAGACCGAGGTTTGTGTTATTTACCTGCCGAAGTCAAAGGCATGATGCGGATAACATAAGGCCTTAATTGATAATTCTCGCTATTATACAAACCCGCATGCCCAGTGATTGAAAGTCCAATCTATTGGATTTGCTCTGATTTCCTGGATTTTCTTCGGGCTATTTCGCTATTGAACATCAACAGAGGTTCGATGGGACGTTATTGGATTTCCGCTGCGCTCCTCAAACTCACTCAGAGGATTTGCCAAAAACGATAAGCCTCCTTAAGCCTCTGTCGTTGAGTAATTATTTCATTTTGAATTAAGCTTGTGCAAGAATTTCAAAAACACAGTGCAACATCAACTGGCCAGCCTCATGAAGTCAACATAATCTCGACCAGACAAAAATTGTAAATTCAGCAAAACAATCTCTTGACCTTTCAATTGACGGCATGCAACTCACTAAGGTTGAGTCAGAACGTGTCTTAGGACTATGTATTGATAGTCATCTCACCTGGAACGAACACATTGACACACTGCGCCGAAAACTACTTCAAAGAATTGCAATTTTAGCAAGAGCTCGGAAATATATACCAGCCAAATATCGATTGCTTCTCTACAATGCAAGTATCAAACCGCTCTTTACTTATTGCTGTACTGTTTGGAGCAACTGTAGCCAAACCAACTGAGACGAATGGGTTTAAACTTCAAAAACGCTGCGCTCGATTAATTTTGGATAGTCCTCGGGATGCACGATCATATGATATTTCAAAAGCTTAAGTGGCTACCGGTGGATCAACTATTCAAGCTCAATAAACTCGGCCTTCTAAAGAAAGTTATTGATGGTAGGACACCGGAATACTTAATCACAACCTTGGACTCACTTCGGTTTGAACACAAGTACTCTACCAGAACAAAAACATTATACCGCTTACCGAAACCCAGAACTGAAGCAATGAGGAGAACATTCTTTTTTTCCACTATTAAAGAACTAAATGCTCTTAACTTAGAACCAACGACCTCCTTTAGCTTAATGAAGACAACACTGACTTATAGCGTCTCCTCAAACTATACGGTGGACAATTTTAAAGTTAAAAAGTTATTCTGATTTTAATAAATCCTTGCTTCTTTTTAAATATCATTGTAGATTAGATTCCTTTTTTTTACCAATGTATTCACTTCCGTTTTTAACATCTCTCAATTTTTTAGATCTTTAGAATTTTTAAGAACCTTTATAATCACTATTTATAAATAGGCTTTTTATTTTGATTAATGGAATTTTATTGTTATCAATTTTGTTTTTAGAGGGCCACTAGGAAGGGAGAATACTGGAATTCTTAAGATCTTTTATTATAATTACTATTCGTAACTAGGCTTGTTATCATGATTGTTGTAATTTATTATATCAATTTTGTTTTTAGAGGGCCACTAGGGAGAATACTTCATAGTAATCGGTGTCACCCTCTTAAAATAAAGGTTATTATTATAAAAAGATTTGGTCCAGCTATCTATAGTAAATCCCGGGGAGTACTTCCGTAAATTTACTACTGACGGGGCTGTTCCGTTGAATCTTCGACACTTTGGAACTGTTCCAAACGAAAAGAGATGCATTGTGCCGTTCTCCTCCAGACAATAACTAAAAAAAATAGGGTTCGCGGTTCCTGTGGCTGGCTCTGTGATAAAAAGGCGAGGGAAGCGTAGTTTCGCGGCTAAGCTTGATCGAGAATAAACCGCGCAGGGATTATGGAGAAAAACGACCATGTTGCAGAGTCAAACTGAAGTAAAATATACCCCTGTTATAATTTTCATACCCTGTTCCAGAGTCAGGAGAGGCAAAAAGCCCACTCTGATGAGCTGCACATATCCTCATACCCCATATATATATATAGGTTTACCCCTCGGGTGATAAACGAAGATGAAACCAGTCTGTTGTTTCAAAGCATTCAATTCTCTTTCCACTCGTCTCGTATAGCAGCAGCAAACTTATGCAATGGGCAAGCATCAGCATAAAAGGCCACGTTAAGCCCCGTGCTAACAGACGCAACATTGTTGGCCAATAACTCCCAACATTGTTGGATGTTACTGCGTCCGTTTGCATACCCTGTTGCATGTTGTTTAAAGGGTTGTTGCGCAAAGTTTGAAACCGGTCAAGCGTTTAGCTACGTGCAAAAGGATGCAACAACTCCCAACATTGTTGGGCCAACAATGTTTGGAGTTGTTGCGTCCGTTTGCCAAAGGATTCAGACGTAGCTGTCAACGACTAACCTTAAAATATTTTTAAAAAATTGATTGGGTTGAACTTCAGACGTTCCGATTTATCCAACTTGCCACAGTACCAATCGGGCTTCAGAAATGCTACATGAAATCAGGGCAGTCTCTCTTTTCGCCCGTTCTGGCGCCCGCACAAATCCGCGCTGCTCGAGGCTTCGCCGCTAGCACACTCGCAGGCATATCGCGCTCGCTCGCAAAGAGACTAGCCTGGGAAAACAGCCGACATTTCGCGACGCCACCACGCTGGTTTCCCCGCGAAATACAAGATTTCGGTTGTGCTTCGGATTGGATGAAGCAAATTTAAAACCAGGTTCTAAAGACGATGACTGACTCCAAGTTCTATTGAACTGTCTCATTGAGCCCGAAGAAAGCGTAGCCAAACAAAGCATCCGACTGATCAGCTTATGACATGTTGATGCCACACTCGAAGTTCAATCTCAGTCGGATTTTCTTTTTATTGTTTTTGTCGGTTCGAGGAATTTTGGTAACCTTTGAATTTCGCTAGGTGTCTTAAATTCTAACGTAGGCGATGCATATTAAGGTCACTGAAACAAAATTCCTTGCTCTTTTTTATAAAGACTGAACAACGACGGACTCAGTTCCTTATTTTGCCAAATAAGCCGACGAACTTCTAGAATGCCTTTTTGAATAGGAATTTCCGTTGATATTCGACATGAGCATGAAACAGGAAAATATACGTTGTCGCTGGTAGGCGGAAAGTTGGAATAAAGATGGAGCTGCTTGGTGACCTTACTTTTAATGAGATGTCCACCAAAGAATTAGTACTGAAAAGCTTCGCGAATGAAGTGTACTCCGTGATAAATGAAAACTATTGTTTCTGTTAAAGGTTCCGGCTTTTACTTTGGGTTCAGTTCGTGTCATCAACGCGGCCGCAAAAGACTTTGTCTGCATATACTACTGTAGTAATAGTTGACACCGGCTACAGCTGCCCTCACTCTGTATATATGTTGTCGATCAATAGTATTCTTGGTCTTTGTGTAGCTCGTTGAAATATACCGATTCCTATTGAAGATTTTATTTATTTGTTTACCAGTTAGGTCTGTCGCTCAATACTCAGCTGAATACTGAGCATTTTAGACCTCTCTAAAAAGGAAAACAAAAGTGTAAAGCAAAACACACATTTCATACGATACGTGCGGAGATAAATTCACTGGAAACGCAAGGTTCCATGCACTGATTCAGGTCGATACACAGCTTTGATCAAAACATTAATTCTCAGTTTCAATAATATTTTATTCCAAACCGCAAGAATAGATTTGATTAAAAGTGGCAATTTTTCGCCATTTCTTTTTCACTTTTTACATACAGTTCCTTTTCTTACCCGGAAAGTAAGCCTCAGAAATTATAAGGTTTGATCAATCAGTGATCAATTCACGCTCGCGCTTTCTAGTGATACTTTAAAAAAAAGAAAAAAACTTTGTCATTAGAAGGAAATCTGTGAGCAGGGAATACGTCAGCACAGAATTTAATTGTCGGTTATACGCATTATACGCACCTTCAGTTATAACTTCATCCGCATTCTGGGCGAAATTCCCGCTGGGGCAATTAAGCAAGTATATTTTGGGGGAATTAATTTTTTGATAAAGCCTTTATCCCCCAAAAATATAATTAAATGAGCAAATAAAATTAAGAATGAAAAAATACTGATTGCCGAGACCCGGGATTATTCAGAGCTCATGTGAACTCTCCGGATTTGAACCAGGGACCTTCAGATCTTCAGTCTGACGCTCTCCCAACTGAGCTATCTCGGCAACTTAGAACTCTGAAGTTGCAAGGGCCTGCTGGTTTGTGAGCAGGAATGAATAGATCTTCCAAGGCTTTGCAGGTTTTCATATTGTCTATGGCTGTTTTTATCTCGATGAATATTTAAATAAGCTACCAGATAAATATCTCGCGATAAAAATAATAAGAATGGACGATCTTTTGTCTGAATAATTTTCACACATAATTATATAGCCACCATACATCTCGTCTCTGATCTGCACTAACAGATCTAACAGTGTACACCTCACAGACAAATCAATGGCTAGCCTTTGAATTCAACAAATTCAGCACGACTTCATCTCAGTTAGCATAACTCAGTATAGAAGGTTAAAAACATAAGAAACAATCGAAAAAAAAAATTCAGCAAAAATTGTATTTAGATTCACTTCACCCAGCTGGCGGTGATTGCGTGTAGGTGGTGTTTCCTGTCTTCACGTTCTGCTGCTGCTTTTGCAAGGATGACGGTTTTTAATTTGAAAAAAATTCTAAGGAAGACCTTACGCAGTTATTCATTGGTGAATGTTTTTTGTTCCTTTGAATGAGATCAAGAACTGAATATACTTATCTATGTAACCAGAAACTCATAAGGGGTTGAAAACCCCTTATGAGTTTCTGATGTAACTTATATCGGCTTATAGACAAGAGATTTTAAACGACACTCAGGTAAATTAAGGCATGGGCCTCAATTTGCCTTAATTTGCTCTCTTCAAAACTGAGGGGGTGGTCTATATCTAAGAGCTTTAGATGAAGAGACATAAAACTTTGCCAGCTACCCACATCTTCAGTTTGTGTCAATTTTGTGCTTTAAAATTATGCAAATCAGGTCACGTGACCTCCATCGGCTGAAAAAGCTTGTTCTTGAAACGGCAACACTTTTTCGTGTGTTCTCAATCATTTTACGGGTTGCATAATGTTAAGACCTTTTAATATATCACTTCTGTGCTTGGCCTTTTTTAGATATTTCAAATTGAAGGCGTTAAGATGGGATACAATTGCTTTGGGGGACTGGGTCTAGTTGAAAAAGTCGTTTATTTTCTAAAACAGTAAAAAATTCAAAAAAGGCCAAGCACAGTTTTGTAGATGCTTGCATTACACATTGTCCTAAACCAGTCTGGTTTAATAACTCACAACAAAAAGTGTTGCCATTTTCGTTTAAAGACTTTTTATTGTTTTCTGGCCGTGTGGAGTCACGTGACAACATTTGCATAATTGAAAATCACCTAATTGACAGAAACCTCACATGTATGTATCTGGCAAAGTCTCATCTTTTTACTGCTTAAGTGCTCAGAGATAGACCACCCCCCATCACTTTTTGACTGAATCATTGGGGACCCATGCCTTAATTTACCTGAGCAGTTCACACAGTTCTTCTTTTTCCCGTTGAGCAGGGTGTTATTATTTGGATTTCATCTATTTTAAATTGAAGGGTGTACCCCTCCGGTTTGTTAGCTTACTTCCCACCTTCTTTTTTCCCTATTCTCAGATTCGGAGACCCCGGGGCCGGACGCTTAGTCAGCTCGGGAAAACACTCAAGTAGTAGGCCTGGGTGCTTGGGCAGGACTCCTGGCCTGGTTCAAGAGATCATGATAGGAGTATTATGGCTCTTGCCTGGGTCTAATGGGTTTACCAGTGGAAAATGATTTATTGGCTATAACTTAACTTCGGCTCAGATTATGGAGCTCAATCAAAATTCGGCACCCAAAAGGAATTCACCGCCCTTATCATTTTAAAGTATAAACATTTTGTTAAAGGGTCTTAGACCCTGTTTACATGGAGTTGAGGACCCCGGTCTAGTGGGGTAGGTTTCTTTTGTTTTGTTTCCTCCAGAGCGTGAAAAAAAAGAAACTCACCCCACTAGACCGGGGTCCCCCACTCCATGTAAACAGGCCCTAAAATTCTTAAATAATTGACAAATTGGTAGCAGGTTTAAGAAAAGAAATCAAGCAATGACATTTTTCTCATTCATGTTAAATATTTCTAAGGCTTCAAGTTTGTTGGAATGACTGTCCATTGCACTTCAATAAATAATTATGAGAGAAAACGTCGTTTTAAATGCCTAAATTTAAACTGGATTATTTAATCCTTTAATTTTAACCTTCGCTTACATCAGGAGCCTATCAAGGAGCCTCCATCTCCCATACAAGCCCTTGGAGTCAACCCTTTCCCGAGTAGATTTATAATTAGAACGGTTCCCAGGGGAGACTTCGCGCGCCGACGGTAGGAAGAGCCAATCACAACAACGAAATGACACTGCTATTGTACTTCATCGAACAGCAGGAAATTCGGTGTTGACAGGCCAAACACAATCATAAGCTAGTGAAACGTGACTTTAGCGTTTTCATCCCTCAGAGATTTTCTTTCTTTTCTTTCTAGTGGGTAGACTATACTGTGA